AAAAAAAAAAAAAAAAAAAAAACACGATGGTCCACATGGCTTCTTATTTCATCCATTGAATCATTCGTTCGTTTTTTCATCCATCCATATATCTATCCATCTCACAGTTTCGAGGATCTGCTATGTTTTACTATGATAGATTCTAAGAATAGAACAGTAAACAAGACAGGGTACCTTCCCTTATAAGGAAGCTTTCATTTCCATACGGGAGACAGACAAGTGGCTTTTGGAATGAACACAAAGTGAAATGTGCCATAATGGGGGAAGTAAAGTGTGTGCAGGAGCACAGATGAAGGACACATATGTCATGCCTGGCAAATACTAACAAGAGAGGGCAGACACAGAGTGTTCTAGATAGAGCTTAATGATGCAAAAGTCAGTAAGGAAGACCAAGCATGATGGACCAAGGGAGCTGGTAGATGAGCATTCTTGGCTGGAACATGGGATACAAGGGAGGGAGGCACAGTCAGCCAGCAGAGGAGGTGCATTATGCAGGGCCTTTGAGCCATGTCAAGGATGCTGCTTTAACTCCCAAGCAGCAGTGAGCTATTGAGAGTTACACTAGGGGAGTAGCATATTTTTGTTTGCACTTTAGAATTAACAGCTTTGGTTATGAGTAGAGGGTAAGTCAGAGGGGCATACCACACTGTATCCCATAAATGTGTACAATTATTATGTGTCAATCAAAAATAATAAGAAACAAACCATAGTGGGGAAAATGGAAGTGGAGAGACCACTTAGGAAGCTGTTGGAGTAACACTGGCATGAAATATTGGCGATCAAAACCAAGGTGGTGGCGGTGGGAAGGGAGGCAAGTGGATGGAGTCCAGAAATATACACAGAGTTGAGGGTTGGTGCTTGGCCCTGCTTCTAGGAAGGAAACGGCAAAAATGTGAATAAGAATCCTTTAGTTTTCCCCATACCCTGGCACAGGGGAAGTCCTTTCCCCTACTGCAATAATCAGTGACCTACTTTTTGCTCCAGGTCTCCAGAAGGATGCCCCTGTCTCCCAGGATCTCTCACCCTCCCAGAAAGCAATCACTGGAGTCCAGTTATATCTTCTACACCCTCAGTCAGGGTGGATGGGAGATGGTACGTGTGCGCAATTGAGAGTGGGCTTCAATTTGCTGTCAGATAAAATAGAAGCAGAAGAATGATGTGTCTATCTGATAGGTAGCCATGAATCTAGGAAAACTGGAGGAAATCTGGAGAAGCCACCTCCCGTCTTCCTCTTTGACTTGGCACCACAGTAGAACAGCAAACTTGACCAATTGTTAAAAGCGCATGTTTCAGAACCTCAGGCAATCTTAAAGCACTGTATTTGAGTCTCAGCTGTAGGCCGTTCTTGCTCTTCTCTTTCTAGAGGAGGAGAAGAAAGGTTTGTCTCTAAGGATCCATTCTAGGTTCCTTGAACAGCCATTGTTAACACCATCCCTGTAAACCCTGGAATGATTTCTTTTTTTTTTTTTTTTTTGAGACGGAGTTTCGCTCTTGTTACCCAGGCTGGAGTGCAATGGCGCGATCTCGGCTCACCACAACCTCCGCCTCCCAGGTTCAGGCAATTCTCCTGCCCCAGCCTCCTGAGTCGCTGGGATTACAGGCACGCGCCACCATGCCCAGCTAATTTTTTGTAGTTTTAGTAGAGACGGGGTTTCACCATGTTGACTAGGATGGTCTCGATCTCTTGACCTCGTGATCCACCCGCCTCGGCCTCCCACAGTGCTGGGATTACAGGCTTGAGCCACCGTGCCCGGCCTGGAATGATTTCTTATGCTTGAGGATGAGCACTGAACCCTCATAAATGTTGCTCACTCTACGAACCACCCGAAGCCCATTTCTTCCTGGTCGTTGTCTCACCACTGCCATTATCTATAAAAGGAAAATATCAGGGACCACTGTACCTTAGCTGCATGAAATACTTGCAGAATCATTCATTGTTGTAAAAAAAAAAGTCTTTTGTGCAACCAAGTCTTCACCTATCAAACCCATGATCCCCAGTCCTGTCAATGTCACCCTGCCCTCTCCACCCTGGGCTCAAAAGACATCAGTGTGATATCATTCCTGTGCCCCTACCCCAAATATGCTCAACCCCAGGCCCACTCAGCACATGTGTTTCGGAGAGGCTGTGGGATTGGTGCCTTTCTTACCAGATGGGTATGTGGCATCTTCCGGTTGCTGAGCCTGCAGGCAGTAGGCCACTGTTTGTTTTCATGACTGTTCTTTGCAGAGGTGCCCTTCCTTCTCTAACAGTGGTTTTCAGCTGGGGGCTTTGCCCTCCAGGATACAGTTGGCAATGTCTGGAGACATTTCTGATTGGTAGTGGTAGAGGTGGGTGGGTTGTACTGGCTTCTAGTGGGGAGAGGTCAGGGATGCTGCTGAACATCGTACAATACCCAGGACAGTTCCCCACACCAAGGATTGTTCAGTCCCACGTATCAGTAGTGTTGAGGTTAAGAAACCCTGCTTTATCTAGAACATTAGTCTGTGACTGAGGGGGCCCTTGAGTCCTCCAAGGCCCTGTAGGGTTGTTAGAGCAAACTACCAGTTCGTGAAAAACTCATTTCCTCTTGTGTGTCTTTCCACAGCTGAGCTCTGTGCAAGAGATCCAGTTAAAGCGGTTCGAGGTGACAAGACCCCGAGGGCTGGGGAACAAGGAGCGGGGCCGGGTGCCAAGGATGGCCAGGCAACCAGCGCCACCCTGGGTCCACGCAGCCTTCCTCTTCTGCCTCCTCGGTCTTGGCGGAGCCATCGAAATTCCTATGGATCGTGAGTCTTGCCCCATCCTCTTCTCCTTTCCTCCTGATTTTGGGCAGAGGGGTGGGAGGGAAGGGAAGGTCAGAGGGAAGTTCAGAGCATTCAAAGAAGGTTGAGAAGAGGGGAAGCAGTGGATTCTGAGATTCAGAGCTGGGTTTCTCTCCAAAGAACTGGCACAGACTCAGGTTTGGAAATGTGAGATTGTGTGTGGCAGAGCCAGTTTCTCAGGGCTGTGGCTGAGCTCATGCTTGGGGCGCCTGGAGCCAGCTGAGTGGGACCAGAGGTGGCAGACTTTGGGATTCTGAGTGCCGCTTGGGGTTCTTCCCTCTGCTCACCTCTCCAGGTCTTCTGTGGTCTTGACTTGCCCATAAAAGCAGTTTCCAGGGTCAAGTTTGGTGGACCCGTTCTTACTTGCATTTCTAATGTCGGATATATTCAAATCCACACCCTTTAGGCCCTCTTGGCTGGAGTAGTCAGGAGGTCACAGGCCTGGGAAGAGCTGAGAGCAGAATTATCTTTGCAAAAAACACAGCTAAATGAGACATGAAAATAGAGCCTCATTGTCATGCCGCATGGGAGAACAGGCATGAAATCCTTCCCCTTGTTTTCAACTTTCCCACAGTCAGGATACAAAGTAAAATCACTGTCATTCTGTTTCTCATGGAGGGGGCATTGTTTGATCATCAGAATCATAAAGTAAAGGGCTTAAAATGCAAATCTAACAACCATGTCTCCACCAACCATATCTGATGCTGTGTTCGTCAATGGCCCATTTATTGGCAGATAAGCTCCTCCGCCCTGCTGGTAGGTATGTGCCACCTTTACCACAACTCTGACACTTTTGGCAAAACATCTTAGCATCCCCAGGCTAAGATGTGAGTGTGCCACCTCGGACCCCTATTCCTTGTGTCAAGGACCAGAGGGGACCCACATGACACCAACATTGGCTTGGGCTCTCTCCAGTTAATAGATGTCCAGGGAGGGGGCTGGAGAGTAATACAAATGCCAAGAAGCCCACCCTGAGCTCTCCAAAGCCAGACCCCTGGTCCTGAAGTTAGCATAGTTTGGAGAAGAGGTGGTGGTATCTCAGCCCTCCTGGTACCCTATTTTCACCAATAATAGCTGCCCCAGAGGAAGGGACGCTTCAGATGATAGAACACCAGTAGTAACTATAAGTCAGACCCAGAGGTTAGATGGGCAGAGCCCCTGTTGCCCTCCCAGTGTCCCCAGGTGTGTGGACTTGCATGTAAGTGTGCGTGTGTATGCATGTCCACACACGCGTGCGTGGGCACAGGGAGGGAGGAAAGGAGAGTCGTGAAAGGGCCTGTTCCCATGGCGACTGTCTGCGCGGCTGGCTCGAGGAGAGTTTCTCATTAACAGTCCCAAGCAGACAGTCTAATAAGGAGCCTGGTAAGGCCAAGTCCCTGGAGGGAGGGGGTGCAGAGGAAACTGGGTTATCAGGGAAGTGGTGAAGGCTCATTTCTCTTCTGCCACCTCTCCTCACTCACCTGCTGCTTTGATCCCTGGGGCCAGTGGGTGAGGGGTCCCTGTAAGGTGAGCCTATAAATAGATGGCTTTGGTGTCTATCTCAAGAATCTGGAATTCTAAAGCTCTACAGGAAATGGAGACGCAGCACACTCCAAGCAGTCGGGCTCTGCAAAGTCCTGCCCGTAGGGTAGAGCTTAGAGTGCCCTGACCTCCCCGCCGTCTCCTCATTCCAGTGTCCCTGGGATGACCCCCGCCCCACGTTGTGTTCACGGAAACTCAAGCCTTTGCTAGCTTAGAGTCTCACAGCAAATGGATGGCGGAATCTGAAAAGAACCCAAGTCTCTTGACCTCCAAATCTGGGGCCTGATACATGCCACCCCTACCTGCCTCCTTTGAGTCCTTCTCTTCGGAACCCACTGGAATCACAGGTGTCACGTGCCAGGGAGAGAGCTAAGTGCTGCACGCACCTCACCGCACATGGTTCTGGCAGCTCACCCTCAACGTAGGTGTTATCCTTCGCCTGTGGGTTAGAAGACTGGGAAGGAAGAACCATGATAGGACCGCAGTGCCGCTCTGATGAAGACGGAAGTCCTTTTGCAATGCCATTCCAGTTGCCCGGCTGTGTCAGGGTGGGAGACCCAGGCTGCCTGGAACATGTCCCACCCATATGGCACCTCCCAGGTTGCTGCAGGTATGATGGCCCTGACAACGTGTCCAAAAAGAGTCTGCAGAAACTGAACACACTTTCCCAGGTGGCTGCCAAAGATGACGGGATGAGGGGCAGTTACCGGCACTCTGTGGCCAAGGCCTCCTGGGCCTCCTGACAGCCAGCATGGCTAAGCAGGTACTGCTGGGCTGGAAGGCGGTGGTCATGCACTGCGAGGGCATCGACATTTCTGGAAGTTTCTATAGAAACAAGTTAAAGTGTCTGGCCTTCCTCCGCAAGTGGATGAACACCACTGCTTCCTGAGGACCCCACCGTTTCTGGGCCTCCAGCCACCTTGTCTGGCAGACCCTACGGGGCATGCTGCCCTACGAGACCAAGTGAGGCCAGGCTGCCCTGGACTGCCTCATGGTGTTTGATGGAATCCTGCTGCCCCGACAGAAAAAGTGGATGGCGGTGCCTGCTGCCCTCAAGGCTGAGCATCTGATGCCCGTGAGAAAGTTCACCCGCCTGGGGCGCCTGTCGCATGAGATTGGCTGGAAGTACCGGGCAGTGACAGCCACCCTGGAGGAAAAGAGGAGGGAGAAGGCAAAATGCACCACCAGAAGAAACAGCAGCTCACGAGGCCACGGAAATGGACCGAAAAGAACATGAAGAAGAAAATCACAAGTTCACAGAGGTCCTCAAGACCCATGGGTTTCTGGTCTGAGCCCAATAAAGACTGTTTATTCCTCAAAAACAAACAAACAGAACAAAAAAGCTGAATGCAAGACTGCAGGCAAGCCCTTCAGAGAGGCCCCGGCTGCCCTGGGAAGAGACCGTCCTCAGCGGGCCGCCCCGTCTCGCTGGCCCAGCACAGCAGACCTCCCACGTGCGCTGAGCTGAGCCTACCTCCGTCCAGCCCTGGGCTGAGGGAAAATCAGGCATTCTTAATGTTCTCGCCCTGCCAGGTGTTCCTTCTACTCACTTGCCCCTTCAGGGGACATTATCTGTGTCTCCAGGGCAGGGACACTGCTTCTATTCTGGAGAGGCTGGGTGCTGCAGGCCTCCTGGAGCAGAGCCCCGGGCCACTGCACAATCCCTCATTGAAGGCCCAGCCTCCAGCTCCCACTGCTGTGCCAGCAGAGTCACACGCACCCTCCCACCCATCCCCTCCCTCCCTCGCTCCCTCCCTATCCAGCCTCAAGAACAGTCTGACCCTTGAAAAAAGCCAAGGGTCGCCTCATCAACCACAGTGAGTTTGCCAAAAAGTGAGTCGGCTGGCCCTTCTGTCCCTGGCCCTGCATCAGGGGACGGCATTTTCCTCTTAGGAGTGACAGAAACAATTCTTCTCCACCATCATAAATCATGTTGCAGGCACATGCATACTCTCACACATACATGCACATTCACACAGACACAGGCTCACACCTGCTCACTCATACACACTCACCCACTCACACCCTCACCCACACGTGCTCACACTCACGTACTCACACACACACTCACGTACTCACACACACATACCCACACGTGCTCACACTCACGTACTCACACACACACGTGCTCACACTCACGTACTCACACACACTCACATACCCACACGTGCTCACTCACATACACACACCCACACGTGCTCACACTCACGTACTCACACATACACTCATATGCCCACACGTGCTCACACTCATGGACACTCACTCCCACTCCCACTCATGCACACTCACTTCCACTCACACACACCCTGATCACACGCACTCGCATGCTCCATCTTCTGAGGGATGGGAAAGAAAAGAGGCACATGAGCAAAGAAACCTCGCAGAGCAGGCAGGCCTCTGCCTCCCTCCCCACGGAGCTGGGCCGGAAGACCTGTGGAATTCACTTTCCACCACTCCATAGAAGGTGAATGGTGTGACACTGGGTAGGCGCTTGGTCACCCTCATCCCTAGACAGGCGGTCCCCACTGTCTTCTCCCTGTGGCAGCTTGTCTCCTGGGTGGATTCTGTCCCTGTAAGAAATTCCTTAGTAGCACAGTGGTGGCTGTAGATGCCATCCCTTTAGTCAAGTAGATTCTCCAGAGGCCCCTGACCTGATGGTATGGGGGCTGGGGACAGTATCCAGCCGGCTCTTGCTGCCCTGAGAGTCTCCACCACCCATGGTCTCCCCTCTCACCCACCCTTCTCCAGAATGTCAAGGGGAGCAGAGTCCTGAGGCCCCAGATGGCTCACTCACCTCTCTGGCCAAGGATGGATTTGTTTTAAAAAAAAAAAAAAAAAAAAAAAAAGCTCTGGAGCGAGCATTGGGAGAGCTGGTTCACATTCTAGTTCTGCAGCAAGCTTCCTGTGTGATCTTAGCCAAGAGACTCCTTCCTTGGATCCGGAGATTCCCTGACAATGTCTAGGGCTGTTTCCATTGAGTCAGCCTTTGATTCTATAAAAGAAAGGCTTGAAGTCCATGCGGGCAAAGGAGGTCCCTTGTCAGCCTTGCTACCCAGGGTGAGACCCCAAAAATGTACTAAATGAAGAAGCCAAGGGCCTGGGCTAAGGGTCCAGGGGAGTGGGTCCCAGTGACAGCCCTGCCTCTTCTAAGAATGGCCCCTTCCCCCACCCAAGTCAACTGGGGGAGTTACTTTCTAGAGTTACCTTTCTTGGTCCCTGGCAAGAATATCATATATGGCTAAAGATGCTGCAGAGGCGAGCTCCGGGTGGCATGTGTTTGGGAGACATAGATTTTTGCTCGCCTCCTGGTCTTTTCTTTCCTTTGTCTCCTTCCCAGGCAGCCCTGGGCACGCGGTGATGCAAATGTCTCTTCAGATCCCTCCAGGGCCATGCAAAATAATTATTTTGGATCTTTTTGTGAGTCTCAGACTCAAGACCTTCCTTCATGCACGTACGGCGGGCCCTTGTCCTGCCACACTCTGCCCCTCCGGGGCCTCTCTTCCCCCTCCTGCCGTCGCTCTTCCGGCACCTCTTGTTCTGAGCATGACTCTGTCTTCTCCAGGCTGCCCTATCTAAGCCCCAGAATCCTCGCCACACCTCACTCAAGCCAAGTAGGAAAGCTTCAAGGTCACCATGGCTCTGCCCTGACGCTGGCAGCCTGAGACTCCCCCAGGGAGCACTCACTCCGAAAAAGTCAGCCTGCAACGACAGGACAATAGTGTGCACCTACATGAAACGAGAATGCCATGTTGCTTTCTGGTATAATAATCAGGAAAAGGCATTTTAAAGTCACAGCAACACATGTTCTCCTTTCTGCAAATTTTAACCAAGACCTTCTCCCCACAAAAAGCACACCATCTAAAACCTTCTTATCCAAAGTGTGGTTCGTACACCACCAGCATGGCATTGGCCGGACACTCATCAGAGGTAAAGTCCCAGGCCCCACTCCGCCCGACTGAATCAGAACCTGCATTTGAACCAGTCCCCAGGTGATGCATATGCATGTTAAAATTTGAGAAGCCCAGACTTTAAATACATACGCCTGCCGGTACAGAAGCACACCTCTACGAGCGCAGGCACAGTTTAGGTAGGAGCTGGGGAAGACCTGTGCCACCTGCTTCCCTACCTTCCTTGTGAAAAGCACAGAAAGGAGCCATGGGCTCTGCTTCATCCCTGGAGACTCCCATTCAGAGGTGGGATTTCTATAGCACGACGTACCGTGAATAGAAGCAATGTCCATGAATGGGACATTTGTCTCTAGAGTCTTCCATGGGATGGGGAAGGAGGAGATGCCAGGAGAGAAGGTGTTGTGGGAGAAGTGAGGCCTTGGAGCTGTGCCCTGCAGCAGTGGGTCAGATCCACTCCCCTCCTGGCACCTGTCTTGCCCTCTGCCTCTCCCATTCACTGTTGGCTGAGAAGCCCACTTCCCTCAGTGGCATCAGATGGAGGGGAATACCTTCAGGGCCTCTTTCAAGCAGAACTGTCACTTTCAGCCATATGGACTTTCCTTGTGACACTGTCTTTTGGTCAGAGCCAGACTTTCTGCCTGACTCTGTGGTTTTGGTCTCCCAGGGAATGCATCACCTTCTCCATAAAGCACTCGCTGGGTCCGTTCCCCAACCCTGCTGGGCTCTTGCACTGAGCTCTGCAGCCAGGAGGAGAGAGCCCTGTGCCCAGTGCCCTCCCCAGGCGTACCCCTGCCCGCTCCCTGTGTGCTGGGGTGTGAGGATGTCTGGGCGGTTGTGTGCATAACGATGTTCTTCTTTTCTCCCTCCAATGCTAACCCATCGGAACTAACAGCAAGCATTCAGAATGAGCGTAAGTGCCCTGCGTGCCTCTCTGTGCCTGTGCTTCTGGGAAGTGGGAGGGAGGAATGAGGTGTGAGGTGATACCTGCTCACATGCCTGGGGATTAGTGGCCTGCTGGGACTTCTGCTGCGGCCTCTTCCCGCCAGATCTCTGTAGTGAGGTCTCTTACCGAGTGGAAAGGAAGGAACCTTGCCTGTAGCATTCTATTGCTGGGAAAGACAGAGGAGCACACGGTAAGAGCTTGACTCTGAGCTTGGTAAGAAGCAGGTCATTGGATCAAAGCTCGGGTGCACCACAGCTATTTCCCCATCCTCCAGTGGCTGGCACAGGACCCTAGGAAAAAACACTGGCACTTGGGACCTAGTGGGAGAGGGTCTGGGAAGTTCTTGGGGACTGAAGCCTCTCTCTGTCCTGGCCTCACCACAGTTAGGCCATTTGTTGAGCCTCCAGGGCTCTGAACCACCATGACCCCTAAGTTCTGAAAATCTAGCTGCTTTTTCTTCCTTTATTCATTCAACAAACAGTTATCAAGAACTATTGTCCTCTGTGTGTTGTGCTAAGCATTGTAATGTAAAGATGAGTAAACTAAAAGCCTGGCCTTCAGTTTCCCCCCGGGATGCTATGGGAGCTTTTTTGTTTTTGAGACGGAGTCTTGCTCTGTTGCCCAGGCTGGAGTGCAGTGGCACAATCTCAGCACTGCAGCCTCCGCCTCCCGGGTTCAAGTGATCCTCTTGCGTCAGCCTCCTGGTAGCTTGAGTTATAGGTGCTGACCAGCATGCCCAGCCAAATTTTTTTGTACATTTAGCAGAGATGGGGTTTCACCATGTTGGCCAGGCTGGTCTTGAACTTCTGACCTCAGACGATCCACCCGCCTTAGCCCCCCAAAGTGCTGGGATTACAGGGTGTGAGCTACTGCACCTAGCCTATGGATCTTTTTAAAGGGGTTCTTCTTATGCTTAATCTTTGATATCTACCTTCTTTCCTGAGGCATGGCACCATTTAAGGAGCTAGGTCTCTAGAATGGGGCCCTGTTCACTATCCCCCTGCACACCACCCACTTGCCTGCTTGCATGTGTGGCTCCTGAAGCGCTTCATCTTCAGCTGTTCCCCAGGCTGGAACCCAGGGAGGTCCCTGCAGCGCTGACCATGCTCCCTGTGCACTGTTGCAGTGACCCAGCCACCGACCATCACCAAGCAGTCAGTGAAGGATCACATTGTGGACCCCCGTGATAACATCCTGATTGAGTGTGAAGCAAAGGGGAACCCTGCCCCCAGGTAAGTGGAGGGAAAAAGAGTGCATTGAAGCCACCCGCTTGCTTCTGGGCCTGATGATAACTAAGGCAAATGAGGCAGCTGGAAAATTAGACTTGTCCGTTCCAAAACATTTCCATTAGGCACCTCTAGGTGGAAGGCACAATTTAGGACTAGGAAATCTTGCTGATAAGGAAACTGGAGACCAGAAGAGAAGTGGCTTAAGTTCACACCAAAAGCCAGGACTCGATATTCCGTTTTCTGGCTTTCCATGGAACATTCTTTCCCCCACCCTGTGTTCCCATCATCTGCCCTGCTTTTAGCTTATAGGAAGTTCCTCTTCCAAGCTAACTTGAGTCTTTCACTCTGAGCTTCTCGGTACCTGTTTATGTGCTCAGTCGCACCAAATAAGACGTCAACAGACATCAGTTAAAAGCCTGTTGAGCGTCTAGGCTCTGTGTTAGGTTCTGTTACTCACGCTGTCTTGTTCGACTACCTAACGGTGCTCTGGGGAAGGACCGATGTCCTTATGAAAAGGAGGAGAAACAGAAGTACAGAGGTTTTAAGTACCTTTTCCAAGGTTACCCAGCTTGAAAGAGGCAGAACCCAGATTTAAACCCACACTTCTGATCCCCCAAGGCCAGATTCATTTCTACCTAATGATGAGCATTGGAGACATGACAGACGTTACACTATCCACCCCCAACCGCATCCTCAAAGTAGCATCCACAGACTGAGCCTTTCAGGAGCCTCATGCAAGATTCAGACCCGGACGTGACTGGACCCCAACTAGGGTGTGTCTGTCAGCAGGAGAAATGAGGCCGAGAGGAGGCTGCCAGGTGTGTGGTAGCTTTATGCTGGCCCCTTGGGTTCACACAATACAATCTTGAACCCAGGGCTTGAGCCTGGGAACCAACAAGGACTCCCTCGCTGGCTGAGGGCGTCACCCTGAAGGATCAGTCAGGGTACTGGTAACCTCGCTTGCTTCTGAGGTTTGGTCTTTCCCCCATGGTTCCTTTGCAGGGACAATGACCCTGTGGCACTGGGCAGCCCCTACTGTTCCACTGCTCCTGCTTTCCCTGCTTCTTTTACTTTTCATTTTATTTATTTACTTATTTATTTATTTTTGAGGTGGAGTTTCACTCTTGTCACCCAGGCTGGAGTGCAATGGTGCCATCTCGGCTCACTGCAACCTCCCAGGTTCAAGCAATTCTCCTGCCACAGGCTTCTGAATAACTGGGATTACAGGCACCCATCACCATGCCCAGCTGATTTTTTAATTTTTAGTAGAGACAGGGTTTCACCATGTTGGCCAGGCTGGTCTTGAATTCCTGACCTCAGGTGATCCGCCTCCCTCAGCCTCCCAAAGTGCTGGGATTACAGGTGTGAGCCACCGCGCCTGGCCCCTTCCCTGCTTCTTTTACGAGTTAGATCGTGGGCATCTGAGGATATGAGGCACTGGCTGCAGCCCCAAGGAGGAGCAGAGGGGGCCATTCTAGTGCTCCTCACCAGGGGCTCAGTTCTACTAGGCTGCCATTTCTTTAAAAGCTGCCACTCTTGGGCCACAGGGCATGGCCACTGCTTTATAATCTATACTCACAGAGCAGGGCACAAATAATCTAAGCCATTTCACTTTGGCTTTAGAATGGATTATAAAATTAAGGTGGAGGAGGAGCAGAGATAGCTCCCTGATGTGTTTAGGTTGGGTGGAATATGAATTTAAGTTTGCATTCCTAGTAGGAGGTTGGAAATGTCCTGGGATGGAAGAAGCAGCGGATTCTAGATTCTAAACATGAAAATCTCTCCTCAATCATGTGTTTAGCATAACCCCCACCCCCGGCCTCCAGTGGCTACTTGAGCCATGATTAATTATTAATCATGGCTACCTTAGAGCCATGATTCCCAGCCTTAGCTGGGTAGGAATACTGACACCAGGCCCCTGGCCTGGAGAGTGGGACCTGGGACTCTGCATTTTATAGAGCTCCCCTGCTCGGCCAGGCTGGTACCTATTGGTATGGAGATGCCATGATGGTGCTGAAATGGCTTTTCTGCTTGGCCAGGCTGGGACCTGTTGGTATCAGGGTGCCAGGATGGGGCCGAGAGAGGGAATTTTGGCGCTGAGCCAGGGACTAGGGATCTGAGATCTGCCTGGACCCCAGAGCCCATCCCATTCGTCTTGGTTGCCCCTGCTCCCCACTGTCCACAGCTTCCACTGGACACGAAACAGCAGATTCTTCAACATCGCCAAGGACCCCCGGGTGTCCATGAGGAGGAGATCTGGGACCCTGGTGATTGACTTCCGCAGTGGCGGGCGGCCGGAGGAATATGAGGGGGAATACCAGTGCTTCGCCCGCAACAAATTTGGCACGGCCCTGTCCAATAGGATCCGCCTGCAGGTGTCTAGTGAGTAGCGTGGGGCAGGGCTGAAATGCCCTGCTCCTGGGCAAAGGAGGAGTTGGGGGTGTGGAAGGCCATTTCAGAAGGGCTGCCCTTGCCCTTGGCCTGCAGATACTTGGTGTTCTCTGTGCATCTCCCCCAACTCAGAATGATTTCCTGGAAAGGAAGTTTTGGATTTCCTTTTGAAGTTGCTGTCTGCAATAATTTCACTGGCCACTGTGGGGACAGGAGAGGGAAAGGAGGGGAGCCTTTGAAGATGCCTCCCTTCTCCTGCTTCTCAAGGACAGCCCCTCGAGTAGGCCTACCTGCCCTCTCCCTCTCTTGCTCCCACCTTGTCCAAGTACCCCATTTCTCCTCCTTGCGTGCTTGCCTCTGACCCTGCTCCTTGACCCAGGCCCAGCCATCGCCCTCACTTTGTCCTCTTTGTCCACTTCTCTCCAGAATCTCCTCTGTGGCCCAAGGAAAACCTCGACCCTGTTGTGGTCCAAGAGGGCGCTCCTTTGACACTCCAGTGCAACCCCCCGCCTGGACTTCCATCCCCAGTCATCTTCTGGATGAGCAGCTGTGAGTCTTGGGGGCCTGATGTTGTATTCATATTTTAACCTTAGGGAGTGGGGTGGGTGTGTTAAATGGGGAGGAGCTTGCCCAAGCTAGAAGACCTTGATTTGTGAGAAGCAGATGCAATGTGGCAACCAGGATGAGAACACACAGGCCCTGCAGAGAGAGACTGCGTGGGCTTATTTTCTAGCCTGGCTGCTGTGTGATCTTGAACAAGTTGCTTAGCATCTCTGGACCTCAGTTTCATCTTCTGGAAAAAAAACAGAGCTAATCATAGTACTTACCTAACAGGATTATTATAAGAATAAATGAGTCAATATGTCCAAAGTGCTTACAACAGGGCCAGACACACAGTAAGCACTTGGTAACATGATAATGAAAATGCAGAGCAAGACAGAAGGGATTAAGGGAGAAGAGGAGAAATTGTTTTTCCAATTGGCTAATTGAAGGCAGTTGATACCAAACCACCTCTTTCAATTCCTGGCCTGTCTGGATTTACTCTGATTCTCTCTTCTGGTAGGAGGAAGGGTGAATGGGGAATTGAAACCTTTCATAAAGGAGTGACTGGGAGATAGGGTATCTGGAGCAGGGACAGAGTAACATCATTCAGAGATTGTTCTGGCTCAATTTTGGACTGAGGCTCATTCAACCTCTCTGGACCTCAGTTTCTTCCTATGTTTTCAATTTAAATAAAAGGAGAAGCATTAACAAAGGTAATTAGAAGACTGCTGTCTCTCTGTGTGTCTTCCTGGCTTCCTGTCCTCCCTCCCTTCCTGCCTACCTGTCTGCCTCCTCTCCCCCTCCTTCCATCTCTCTGTTCCCATCTATCCATCCGTCAACCTGTATCTCCACCTACCTACCTGCCTGTCATCCATTCTTCTATCCATCCCTGAACTGTTACCAGCCTACTTTGAAAAGAGGCTGCCCTATTGATGAGGCAGCATTGTAAGTTGTTTTGCAGGATGGGTGTGGCTTTGTGCTCAATCACTGTCTCTCTCTTCCCCCATCATAGTGCATGTTTGTGGGGAAGGCTGCCTGGCCACAGGCTGCTGGCCTCATTTGTTAATTCACAGTTCAGCCTCACCTCCCTCATCTCCTTCACATCACATTCACCACCAAGTTGTGTTTACTCTACCTCCAAAGTAGATCTCAGACCCTCTTCTTCTTTCCATCCTCATTGACATGTCCCCACCCAGGCCACCATCTGTTTTTCCCTGGGTTACAAGAATTATCCATAACATGTCTCCGTGGTCTTTCTAAAAACGTGATAGTTGATAGTTTCATTCATCTGCTTAAAGCCCTTCCTTGGCTCCTCCATCACCTAAAAATAATGGTCCAGATCCCTTTCCCTGGCACCCAGTCCCTTTCTAGATCTGGCCCTCTGCCTCCCCAGCCCTTCTCCCACCCCATCCCCTACACCCCTGAGGTATGTGCTCTTAGCCTTTAGCACACACTCTTCCAGCTCCTTAGAAACCTCTTAGCTCCTCTGTCTTCAAGGCTCAGCTTAGGACGCCCTAGAATGCACTGGGTTCTTTTCTGCAGTTCTTCCCCTTCTAACTGGTGTTTTCTGCTCACCACGCTCCATTGCAATTGTTTATTTATCTGCTGCCTCTTCCACTGAACTGGAAGTTAGCTGAGGGCAGTAACTGCCTTGCTCATCTTCCACCAGCACCTAGCACAGTGCCTGGCACATAGTAAGCCTGCAGCAAATTGGGAATGGTTTGAAGAGCTGACCAGCCCATTGTGGGGAAGTTGGCATCGTTAACCTTGTACTTTAGGAAATGGTGACTTAAAAACAGTTGTGGGGCCCCGTGCGGTGGCTCACGCCTGTAATCCCAGCACTTTGGGAGGCCGAGGCGGGAGGATCATGAGGTCAAGAGATCAAGACCATCCAGGCCAACATGGTGAAACCCCATCTCTACTAAAAATACATAATTTAGCTGGGCGTAGTGGCATGCGCCTGTAGTCCCAGCTACTCGGGAGGCTAAGGCAGGAGAATCACTCGAACCTGGGAGGCAGAGGTTGCAGTGAGCCAAGATCATGCCACAGCACTGCAGCCTGGGCAACAGAGCAAGACTTCATTTAAAAAAAAAAAAAAAAAAAAAACAGTTGTGGGGATAGGAAGGAGATAGCTGTGAGTAATCAGCTTGAGGCATATTCTAACAAGCCTGGAAACCTGATGTTTTAGGTTTACATCAGCTATAGCACTTGAAAACAAAATATAGTCAGCATTTTCAGCCAGTCCATTCATTCCAATGATATCATTAATCAAACAGTTTCAAATTTTAACATCTCTAAAATTGAAAGTCCTCTTAAAACTGATGGGATACATCATTGATTGGTATATATCTTACAGTTACAATCAGTAGTGCTTTCTTCTTTGAAATAAAAAAGGTATACATTATAATTGATGATTACATTTTTATCAAATGCAGCAAGGCCAAGTTCAGTTTCGTTTAATTCAGCAAACTGTTGAGTGCCTCCTATGTGCTGAGTCCTAAGACGGGCGCTGGGGCATAAGATGAGCAGATCATGGTCCCTGCCCTCAGAGTGCTCTCTCTGCTAGCTCGAGAATTTGAACCTTGGGGAGCACCTGAAGCCTTGTGTTCCTTCTCCTGGCGCTGCGGCCAGTCAGATCTTTTGTGATGTGAACAGGAGAGATTAAAGTGTGGTCATAGAACATGGGCATGGTGGGCAGGCAGGTCTGCATCTAAAATCCTACTCTCCTCTCTGCCTTTGCAATGCTGGACACATTACATCCTCTGCTTTCTGATCTGTAAAATGGGAATAAGCCATACTTCAGAGTCGAGATGACTAGACCAAATAATGTCAAGTTCCTGGTCGCCACCCGACCCTCTGTAAGTGTTCTATCACCAGGACTGCAGTGGTGATGATTACCGTTATTACTGCTAACCTGCTGCTGTACCTCTGCCTTCTCATAGCCATGGAGCCCATCGCCCAAGACAAACGTGTCTCTCAGGGCCATAACGGAGACCTCTACTTCTCCAATGTGATGCTGCAGGACATGCAGACCGACTACAGTTGCAACGCCCGCTTCCACTTCACCCACACCATCCAGCAGAAGAACCCCTTCACCCTCAAGGTCCTCACCAGTAAGTGCAGACCCTGCCCGGGGCTGGGGGCCAGGGAAAGAAGCCCACTGACCCCACCCAGCCCTGGGTACCTGAGTCTAGGGGAGACTTGTCCTTGAGGCTGACCTAGAAATCCTTCCAGCTCATGGTGCCGGAGCCGCCTCTGCTGCCCTTTAAATGGTATCTCTTGATTGTGAAACCTTGAGTCACACTTGGTCCTATGCTAAGTCAATGCTTCTCAAACTCTGGTGGGAATCAGGATCACAGTCGAACTTGGCAGCATTCCAGGCTATCACGCCTCAACAGCCCTGCGCCTTTTGGTTCTTTATGAGCCCTCCAGGTCATTCAGATGCACCCCAGAGCTTGAGAACCACTGCCTGCAGTGGTCATCTGGAGCCCCTCTCAGGACACAGCTTGATTATTTCTTTTATTTCTTCTCGTTGCTTGGTTATCTTTATTTCTGCAAGAAACCCATAGCAGAAAATATGAAAATTAGTAGAGACACCAAAATAAAATTTATTTGATTCTGAAATACGTAGATGCAGAACCATATGGAATCGCTATGTTTGTAAGTTGCAGGCTTATGTTTTAGTTTTGTTTGTTTTCGTTTCTATTCCCTGATTCTTTTTGGCTGGTACAAAAGCAAATCAGCATTTCCTGACCCATTATAGCGTTGGTGGCTCTCCCTGGAGGCAAGAGAGAAGCTTAGTGAGAGGTGTTCTTCTTGGCAAGGACAAGGCAGCCTAGAGATTTGGCTGCAAAGTCTCAGCCCACCCAGGACATTGGAAGTTGTCTATGTTGATGTACACCATGGATTTGTAACATGTCTTCCATACAGGAGCCTCCCCAAAAACAGACCTTCGTCTGGCTCAGGCTGTGAGCATTGTTTTCAGTGCTCTGGACAGTGAGGATTTTTGGGGAGACCAGTAGAGAGCACCATGTGGGTGCTGGCAGTTTGCAAAGGTCAGAGAAAATAGGCTGACCCGGCTTCCTGGAGCCCTTGCAGGGGTGGTGGACAATGGCTCCCGGGTGGGTGTGGTTCGGGAGAGGCTCAGGCGAGATCACTTCTCATTCAGGACAGGTAGCGGGTATGACCGTTGATGTTCTCTTCTTCCTCCCCTATCCCTTCTGATCTCAGAGGCAGGTGGTCCTAAGGCCCGACACAGCTCCACACTCCATTTCCACCACAGCAGAGGTGGATCCAAAAGGAAGCAGCTTCCTTTTTTGCTCCCCTTCTCATGTTTTTGTTTTGTTTTTTTTCTTTGATCTCATTTTCTTCCTTTTCCTTTTTGACTTCTTCTTTATTTCTCCTCTTTCTTTTTCTTTCTTTTCCCTCTCTCTGTTCTCTTAGAGCTTCATTCTGCCCTCCTCTAATTACCTCCTCCTGCCTCAGCGGTGTCCCCATGCACTGATCTGAGTTGGTGCTGGGCTGCCAAAGGTGGTAGCCAGCAGGATTGCCTGACACCTGCAGCAAGCCCCTCACATCCCTGGCAGGGCGACCTGGCTTCACTCTGCTTGCTCCCCTGTCCCTGGCTTTCTCACTCCTGACCCAGGCCCAGGGAGATCCCTTGGAGGAGAAAGTTGGTTTGTCTGCAGTGCCTCTTTGGTGCACATCAGGGTGACTGCCTGCCAGCCGGCTGGGCTGTGGAGAACAGTGTGGTCCGCCCAGGACCTCAGAGTGGCCTCAGCAGCCAGGAGAGGACTAACATCATTGGCAGGAGGAAGAGCAGAGATGTCAAGAATAAGATAAGATGATCACTGAGTGGAACCTAGACAGCAATCAGTGTCCCCACCAGGGCCCCTCGCTCCTTGCCCAGACGACGCGGGAACTCAGCCTGCTTCTTTTGGAACTGAGTCAGTTGACCTTCTGCCGTCCTGGACAGAGCCCGTCACTGTCACATAGAGTAGAGCAGAGCCAAGAGATTGAGATGGTGAAGAGTCTTCCTCTGTAGAATTAACTAACTTCCTCTGCAGTTAGAGATTTCAACAACATGTAGAAGCTGGACTTTCCAGAAACACCCTTTTCTCCACCAGAGGAGGCAAGGGATGTTTGTTAATGCTCCATTTCTGGGTCCTCTATTCCGCTGAAAACTCTTTGCTCCAAATGACGAGAAACCCCCTAGGTGATTGGAACAGAGCCCCATCAGCTTCCTGGAGTTCTCCCAGGGGCAGCTCTGGCTGGGAGCAAGTTCTGGGCATCTGAGCCAGCCCAGAATTGGGCACAGTTGCTTAAAATAGCACAGTGGGGCTCTCTCTCTGCTTTCCTGTCTGGAGAGGACACAGGCTTTCTCTTGTACCTTCCAAACCAGGTCTGGGGTGGGCGGCAAAGCAGTCAAGCAGGGCCAGCTTCAAAGGCCCTGTTCTCACCAGGCACTGCTGTCACAGTTTGCCCATTTGGGAAGAAATAAATCTCATCACGTCCCATTTTTATTATTTGCATTGAAGAGGTTGACAATGGTATATAATGCAAAATACTGGGTAATCTGAAATCATTTTTAAAACCTGGGACGTCATCAAAGATAAGCAGTGGAGTTGGGCTCCGGAGTTGGGCCCTTCCCACTTTGCCCATGCCGTAACAGGTGCCGGCTGCCTCCTGATGCAGTAAGAGGCACCTGTGGGAAGAAAGGAGGGTCCTCTCCGAGGCAGACACCAGAGCATCACCGCTCCTTCCCTCTAATGTCTACATGACATTCTTGGAGTACTCAAAGAAGTCTCCCTGAATTTCTCGTGCGTGCTCCAGAATTCACAAACCGTGAGGTCAGTTCTGAGTGTGGGCTACTTCTCTAGAGAGAGTTCCATTTCACCTGGTGGCATGGAAGCACAAAGGAAGGGCCCTGTCATCTGTGTGTGCCACCATCCTCTCCCAGAAGAGGAACGAAGTTGCCTCCCAAGCCCAGCTGCATCCCCCAGCTACCCCTGGGCCACCCCATCTTTTCATTCCATCGTGGATTAGTTTCCTGCCTTTAGCTCCAGATGGATGCAAGCAGGCTTCCCAAATAGGCTGGGTCTTTACAACAAACCTCGTCTTAAGAGAGAGTTTAGAATAATGAAAATCTTCCTACCAGGTGGTAAGTAGATTTGGGATGCAAGGCAATGCCAGTCCCAGAAAAGAACTCTCATACCTCTTGCAACTAGTTGTAATGGGATTGGATCTGTCGTCAAATATGCAAATGTTCTGGCAGCGCCCCTGTCCTCCCTCAGGCAGTTGGACCGTGTTGCGGGCTCCTCAGGGCCATCTGCTTGGCTTCCAGTCAGCTGCACCCCACCCCCTATTCGTACTATTACAGTTTGAACCCAGTCACTGGAAGGGAACGGAGGTAGAGAGGGAGAAGCTACTTTAGGATGCTGTCGTGATTATGTGTCCTGTTCCGAAATGTCTTTCTCACTAAGGAGTAAACGCCCAAGGGTTTGAATTACCTAACACTGGAACTGAAGCCACTGATCTTGCTCCACAAGGAATGTCTTCAATCCTGTGTAGTCTAGAGAGCTTTGAACTTCCAGAATGTTCAGCAGGACTTTCCTAGTCCAAAGTGTAGAAATGAGCTTGCACTTTCTCCTGCCCCAAGCTCCATTTCAAAATTCTAAAGCCTGAACCTCAGCCATGCTCTCCCCACCTCACTGAACCACTCCCAGCATCTTCATAAGGAGGGCTTTCTGCCATCAGGGACATCTCCAAGATCATAGTGGTGCCCACCTGGTCAGACTCCAGTGACACGTGTTGCTGATTGTGGCCAGGGCCCCTTGGCCCCGCCCTTTAGGTCAATGACCTCCTCCCATTTACCACCAACCTCCTGCAGCTTAGCTTCTGCCCAGGCAGGACTTTGCTCTTCCCCAGAGCTCACTAACACTCCTTTCTCCTTAGCTGCTCCAAGAGCTGGCCTGACCCAGAGTCCTGGGAACTGAGGACTTTGATAAGAAGGAGTTGTTAAAAAGATGGCTACAGGACACCACTAATCTGTCTCTCATTTGTTTGAGATACAGCAGGACCACATAATTAAAGTTCAAGCCTAATTTTTTTAATTAAAAAAAACCTTATTTTATGATTGCCTTCTTTTGCAGGATTTAACCTTTTTCTTCCCCTTTCGTGGGCTGTTTCTGTTGCTTGTTCTTCACTGCGCGCATTGCCTTTCCAAATATGCCGTGTCTTTCCTTTGCGAAAGAGCCACTGCTGCCCTCCTCGGTTGTTTTTGTGGCTTTGCATTTGTTTTTGATCTCCCTGTTTATGCCTCTGTGACTTCTCCGTGGCCTCCTGTTTGCTCACCCTCTTTTGTTTATTACAGACCACCCTTATAATGACTCGTCCTTAAGAAACCACCCTGACATGTACAGTGGTGAGTGGCAGCGGTAACCTTGGGAGTAACCTTGCCTGTGCTAACCCCAGTTTGCCTAACTTGACTGATACCACGTCATTAACTCCTGCTGGGTGGCAGCTGGCCCAGCCAGGGTGCCAAGGTGACACCTCCAGAAGGCTGCCTGCCAGGAGGAAGGTGGCCAGTGCGGGGGTTCGAGGTGGCTCACCTGGTGGTGTGGTCTCCTCTAACGGGCACACCTGAAGTTGCTGAATTCTCAACAAGTTGTCCAAATCAGGCTAGGACTTCAAAAGAACTTCCTGAAAAGCAGAAATTTTTACTGAAAAGTAGCAGCTTAGGAATCAGGGATGGATGGATGGAGAATATCTTAGAATAGGTGAATTCCACAGTGAAGAGGAGACAGGAAGTCTGGTTACTATTGGTAGCTGAAAGAACACAGAAAGATTGTGTGTTCAGTTAACTCTTAAGCGTCTGGATAGGAATTGCCTGCTTTGTAGTCTCACCTTAGTTACAGGGAGTACCATTTCACAGCGAAGTCCCATGTTTCTTTAAAATTCATCTGGGCAATAGGAGTAAGAGTCCAGCTCTGAGTTCTCTTTCAAGATGAGTATAAATGAGGTGAAACCATCCACTGCACCCTCTCACCTGGGCCTCTCCCCTACTCTGGTGGTGTATGCAGATCCAATGCCCACCAGTCCACACCTGCGAGGCGTGGAACAATTACAATGAGGCATGGCTCTAACTCATCACACAGCTGGTTGCTCAGTCTGATTAATAGGGTAATTGGCTATTTCCACACCTGAGTTACCCCTCACCGTGGCTCAAGAATGCCTTATTTTCCCTAAGCAGCCAGAGGCACCATCATTTCCTGGCTCTGGTGGGGCAGCTGGCCCCCATCATTAGTTATGCCTCAGAAGCTGAGGCTGCAGGTCCCCAAGGGACCTCATTGTGGGCTGAAACAGATAGCAAGTGTCTGCACTGTGATGTGCTAATATAAAGGATGATGAGTGACTAGAGCAGGGGATGGGATGAGGGAGGGGGAGCCAGGGAGAGAGGCAAAGACTCTAACTTGGCACCAAGCTGCTAGAACCACACTGAGATCCTGCCAAAGAGATTTACTACCCAAGGATGCAGGGGACCTTGGTTAGATCCTGAGCATTGTTTGTTTTCAAGATAATGGGGCCAACCACTATTGTGCCAAGAGCCCCAGAGGCCTGGTATGGAATGGGCCTTGTTCTAAATTGGATTCCAGGTAATCTGTTATAGGAAGTATTCTGTAAGCTGGAGTGTCTCAGAGCCAGAAGGTCCCTTAGAGACCATCTGGTCTAAGTTCCTCACTTCATGTAAAATAAGCCATGCAGAGGAACATACACATAGAATTGTTTTATCAATGGAATAAATTTGAGTGATTCCAGCCACTTAAACCAGTTTGTGACCGTTGATCGAACAATTATTGCAAGAGAATGAGTGGGAGTAATGAGATCCATCCAGGACTATGAAACAAGCAAAGCTTGCGTGAGCTCACGTGGAGGCTGACCCCTTGTCCCCAGTCCAGGGGAGGACAGAGCTGACTTAAGTATGAAGCTGCTGGAAAGGATATAAAGTCAAAGGGAGACTCATTTTGAACAGAAGACAGCTAGGCTGATGCCTCTAGCAAGAAACCAAAGAGACAAAAAAAGGAGGATGACTTCTTTCTGAGTGCAGGCGTCTGGACAGAGACTTGATGAAACATGCCCAGTGCGTCTCTCTGTTCGGCTCTGAAATATGGCATGTCTCTTTTGTAGCAGGGGAGCCACCCCCTACTTCTGTTTTGTTTTAGTGATTTTCTAGAGTGGATTGGTATCCTCTGAATATTGCCAGGTGCCCCCTGACCTGCTGAGTGGCAGGAGAATCTGGTCTGAGAGTATAACTTGCCACTTAGGATTCACCCAGGTGTGGAGACCAGGTAGTTAAGAGTATGTGCTCTGAGCTAGACTGCCGTGAATTAAATCTAGGGTCCAGGACATACCATTGAGTGAAGCTGGGCAAGCCATTTAGTGTCTTAGAACTTTAATGTCTTCATCTGCCAAATGGATGTATTACCTGCCTCAGAGGATTGTTGTGAAGATTAAACAGGATAATGTGCTTATGGCTCCTAGTATGTGTTAGGCACATTATCGATACTTAACAAATATTACCCATTATTGGTTTTAAAGGGAATGGTTTCGTGTTGACTGCATTCTGGATCATTCTTCTATGCTACCAAAATTAAGAAAGACACAGAGAACTTGAAGAGAAGCCAAGGGGAGAAAAGCAGGTGCAATTATAGGAAGAAAGTACTATAGAGGGAGAAACTGTAGGGCAGACCAGAGAAACAAAAGCTGTTCAGTTCCTCAGCTGTGCTGAGAACTGCATAAGAAAAAAAAGCTCCAACTACTGCCTGTGGGATTTGGGTTAGACTTACGGAAGAAATTTCCTGGCACTGAAAGGTATCAAATGTTACTAGGCAAAGAGTTTTTCCTATATTCTGGGGTTGTTTGGTCAGCCATTCCTAGAGCCAGAGAGGTGGACGAGCTGCCAAGAATCCGGCCCCATAAATCTCTGGTTCTCAATTCCGAGACTCGAAAGCAGCAAAGCGGTCTGGATGTAGGATCCAGCTGCCCCTAAAAGCTATTTTTGGCAGAGGTCCTCAGATACGTCTGATTCATTGAATCTTCTTGTCCTGCTAACACATAGCACTTGACAGAGCGGGGCAGCTAAGGTTGTCAGCAGTCGTGGTGTTTCCTCCAAAGAGATGATCAAGAGGCATTTTCACTGGACCTTTAAGGCCAACATGGTGGAGGCATTGTCGTCTCCTGTTGTCTGCTAGCTGACCATATTCCCCCAGAAACCCATGAGCTCACTCTGAGCCACAGCTTATAAGAGCAGGAGAGGACTGGCTGTCCTTGGGCAAGAAGTCAGATGGGCCTGCAAGGGAAGCTCTTCCTGAACCCACACAGATCTGAGCTTTAGCATATGGACGCTGAGTTTGATCAAGCATGAGGTCACACTCCACTCTGACGATCAGGGCGAATAACCAGTATATCTTCAGGTGGACAGGCTCTCCAGGGATCCCTGCCTCCATGATGAAAAAGGGTGTCCCATCATAAGATGAGACAGTCATCTGCCATCATTTAGAGTTTCATCTAATAATCACCATTGTCTTAGAGTCTGCCTGTCTCTACCTCTCCAGGGAAGAAAATTAGACACCCTCTTTGAAAACAGTGGCTCTCAAAGCCAGCAGCCTTGTTAACCTTCCTAAATTTTCATATGAGTTCCTCCTACTGCAATTGACTACATTTCTTCATAACCTTTCCTTTAGGGCCAGCCATCTCATTCCTTAATGATATTGTGTCCCCCAAGTCTTCCTCAAGTTTTCCATGCCTTTAAGAATCCAACTGAGGTGCCTTTAGAGCTAGCTGCTGAACTCCCTCCTCAGCTTCTTTTTCTCCAGCTTGGGCCTGAGTTTTTTTAATAGCCACTGAGGAGAGATGGGATCTTAGCTGAGACAGTGAGAATAGTAAAACATAGTGGAAGAGTTTCACCAGCGCAGCTCATCAAGACAAAAATATCTTTCTCCTTTACCTCTTTTGCCCTTGGGTTCTCTTTGATTTGAATAAGAAAGATATTCCGGAAGCTGACTGTCAGAAGCGGGAACAAGTGGGATGCCCATTGGTAGACAGAGAGGCAATGTAGAGTGGGTGGAACGCACACGTTTTTAGTGCTAAATGGCCCAGAATCCAAAATTAAGTAGCTTGTAACCTTGGGCAAGTCTGTTTACTGAGCTTCAGTTGCCTCTGCTGAAAGTTGGGATGCAACCCTACAGGTTTGCTGTGAGGATTAGGCATAAATGGTGTGGGTGGAGCTGCCGGCACAGTGCACGTCCCCTAGCAAACGCTCACTGAATGGTGGCCCTCGTTATGACCTCTGACTTTCAGGATGCCCTCCCCTTTTTTGAACTTTGACTCGTTTCCAGTAGCTTCTCCTTCAGGATAATTCTATTGTTGCTAGCCCACATCCCACAAATGCAATATTGCTATAACCTTTTTATAGTCACAGCTACAGCGTGCCAAGCACCCACTGCAGGACTCTGTGCTAAATTTTCCTCCTTCCCATCTTTATTGCTTTGCTGGGTTGTGTGTGCTTGTGGTGTCGCATGTTATGGTGTGAATTAAACCTCCATAGGGTCACAGATTGGTTTCTGCAGATTCTGTCCTGGTGTGGAAGGAGTATGATGACTGAGCTGGGACCCCTTCCACATAATCCCAGGGTTCCCAGCTCTCGACAGAGTCGCCAACCTGACAACAGAGCAGGCTTCTGCCCTAGAGTCTCCTTTCCTCATCGGGCCCCTGACCTCACGTTGTCGTGGTTGTTTCGGTGATTCCGTGACGGTGGGTGGGAGGAAGCTGTTGGTGTCAGGCTTCCTTGGTGCAGAGAATTGGATGCTGCAAGAGCTATAGATATAGATGATAACCCATTAACCATATAATGGATTAACCCCTTCAGTAGTCATGTTGTGATGTGTGATGGTGGGACAGGTGAGGCGTCCACAGAAAGAGAAATAATATGGGTAAATCGCTGCCTTCTTTTTTGTTCTCTTCTTCCCCTTCAATCCATTCATCCCATAAACCTTCATTGGGCACTTGCTGTGTGCCGTGTATTGTACCATCAGCCTAGTTTCCCTCTGTATGTTTCATACTTTCTTCTCCTGACAAAAAGATAAAATTGAAGCAAACTCTATGAATTGCACTCCACCGGTGCCAAGGGAGAGAGTTGAGTGCCCCAGAATAGGAGCCCCGCTGGTGCAGCCAGGCCCCAGAAAACCCAGCAAGCTCCTTCAGGATGCACCAGTTACACGGGGAGAAAGGTCCCCCGCACCCCCCTTACTCTGCCAGCACCGATTGAACCATGGATAAGTGCCTTCATCCTCACCCCAGCTCCTGGTGGCTCTGCCTCCCCTCCATCTCTCCCTTGTCCAGCTGAGTCTAAGACCCCATTAAACCCATGGGTGGGCTCAGCTTCTATTTTTGTTTTTAGCCATTCTTGTGTATGATCATACGCCTTGGCCAGGAGGTACCTCGTCCAGTTTCCCTTTTGCCTTGGGGTTTCTGGATAGAAAATTCTTGTTCTTTTCCCTTCCATCTTACCCATTCCACTAGAGCTACATGAAGAGCTCTGGGGGAAGAGGTAAGGCTTGGGGAAGGTGGGATTCACACTGTTGTGGGTGGGCCCATGCTGGCATGACCCTTCTACAGGGAAACAGCCATCCTGAAAATGCCAATCTCTGCCAGCCACCTGGCCTTCAAGACCTGCATGAATCTCATTGATTTCAGACCCATGATGTCTCCAGCCTAGTTGAATTGTAGATCACCTCCTCCAACTTGGTGGCCACTTTTCTCTCACCCCCTCCCCCAGCAGCTCATATGTAATTACTACTCCTCTTCCCAGCCATCTTCCCCAGTCATTAGTGAGGAGGCAGAATGGTCGTGGCCCCAGTGTGATTTCCTGTCACCTCTGCTCATTAATTCTCTCCATGTCTTTGCTAAGCCATTAATAACTCTCCCTGCATTTCTGATTGTTTGTGCGGGCTTTGTGACTCCATCCCAGAGCCTTGTTTTCAGGGTCCCAAAGAGCAAGTTGTCTGTCCTGTGGCCCCAGTTCATGCCTTCCCTGCTTCCAGATCCCTGCTTGGGGAGAAGGACTGCTGCTGAGATGGCCTGCCCTGGGGCCCACACAGTGGCCTCTGGGATCCCAACACAAGCTGCTCAGGAGTAGATCTCTCAGTGTTCAGACAGCTGCTCCCCATTGCAGGAAAGGGGAGATTCCCTGAACCCAAGGGAAGCTGGGCTCCTCTGGGCAGATCCTTTCAGTACCTAGAGCTTCTCTCACTCATGCTGGTGGGGCTGAGGAGCCCTGAGCTTCCTAACACACCTCACTTAATGATGCCCAAGTCCTTGGGGTGGTTTCAGCTGGGAGGATCTGGCAGGGGCTGTGACGCCATTTCTTTCTAGCCTGACAGTGTTGGCCTAGCGGGGTCCGCCCTCTGGAAGGAGGCTCACGGGAGTTTGCTCTCTCCTGTTTCAGCCCGAGGAGTTGCAGAAAGAACGCCCAGCTTCATGTATCCTCAGGGCACTGCGAGCAGCCAGATGGTGCTTCGTGGCATGGACCTCCTGCTGGAATGCATCGCCTCCGGGGTGTACGTACAGTTTGCAGTCCCTCTTCTAGCCACCCTCCAGGAGGATGGGGATGGGAGTTTGTTCCTGCTCTTGTTAATGCCACATTTAGGGGCATGCCAGTGGTACAGCAAAAAGAGAAGCAAACAGCTCCTAGTGAGCAGGGTGTTGCAAACCATAGTCATCTCCATCCCATTCTGGCCATCTCTGTTTCGGATAATGAGGAAAGAGGGTGGTTAGGCATCCCGTATAAGCGTTAGGATCTCGTGAGGCCTTAGCTAAGCCTTCAAGCTCTCTGTACAGGAAAGACCAATTCTTAGAGGACATGCATCCTCCTGGGCCCAAATACACTTTTAGGCCACCTGGGTATCCCCCGTGCTATAGAAGAGGAGAAGGGCCACATTCAGTGATGTTTTTGTTTTCTGCTTGGTACGTCTCCTAGCCCGACACCAGACATTGCATGGTACAAGAAAGGTGGGGACCTCCCATCAGACAAGGCCAAGTTTGAGAACTTTAATAAAGCCCTGCGTATCACCAATGTCTCCGAGGAAGACTCTGGGGAATATTTCTGCCTGGCCTCCAACAAGATGGGCAGCATCCGGCACACGATCTCGGTGAGAGTAAAGGGTACGTTGTGTGTATTTCTCATTATGATTATTTTGCCAACCCTGAACACCATGCCCACCCTTCTCTCTGAGGGTGTTTGGGGGCAGAGTGAGTGGGGGAGGCTTCCAGTGCACTGGTCAGTGGCAATGGTGGTCTGCCACGGATGTTGTTGCTCAGTGGACGTGAGAGGATGTGTGCATGCCGGTGCATGGGGCAGGGGCGTGAAGGGGAGGAGATCCACCCTCACCATCACCCAACTCTCCCTGGTGCCAGCACTCCCTCAGCAGGTGAATTTCCTCCCACAGCCCATTTGGACCATTCCCAGAGCCTTTTTTTTCTTTCATTTTGCATTCCCGTTCGTGATGTGTCGCGTGAGCCTATGCTGTCTGTGTACTTGTGCATGATGCCGTGCTGCTTTTTAAAACTGGAGCGTCCTCATGGCCAAAATTATTTTTTTGCAATCACTTCCTTCCCCCCAAAGCAAAGAGGGCCCACCTGAGTGACTGCAGGCACCAGAGCACACGCCATCATGGGTCCCAGCCATGTGTGGCAGGCTGCTCTGGTCACTGTTTCGCCTTGGGCCACACGGATGGTTGAGATGATGAGATCTGAGACCAGAGGACAGGAACTTTCTTAGCATGCAGTCAGTGGATCTGTGACCTTGGTTTCAGCATCATACACAAACTAGGGAGTTCTTAGACTTTGGGGGGTGAGGGTGGGTATCAGTGAGGGTGGGTATCAAGACCATTGAGAATCTGATCTGAAAGGCTCACTAGTCAGAAAAATTCACATTTCCACATATTAGTAAAATTGTCCAAACAATTGAACAAGGTGGCCAGCTAAGAACTGCTCTAACCAAAGTTCAGTGCCCGAATGAATGAATATAAGACTTACCCTAAATGGTCTGAGCTTGCAAAACAGAGACCCAGAAGGACCAACCTAGTGCCCACTTTACCACCTTCCCTGGCAGTAGAGCCGTCGGATGCACACTGCAAACACTGGTGACCTCTGAAAGTATTTGCCACCCAGGCCTCCTGTGAGGATTCTGATTTAGTAGGTCTGAGACAGGCCTTAGCATCCCTTTTTTTAAAAAAGCTCTTCAGGGGATTCTAATGAGCAGCCCCAGTTTAGAACTATTGTTCTGTGAACTCAGAATAGACAGATCAGTATCTGCGCAGCCAAGCCAGCCAGATACAGGCTGGACCAAGTTATCCCTATGAGGACAAGCTCTGGGGCAGGTGGTGAGTGCCTGGTGCTGGGACTCAGGGGCTCCTGCATACTAGAGGGAGACTGCTTGGCTTCTTCTGCCTGTCCCATGCCATCTAACTCCCCTGCCTGTGCCCATCCTTGTCTTCCAGCTGCTCCCTACTGGCTGGACGAACCCAAGAACCTTATCCTGGCTCCTGGCGAGGATGGGAGACTGGTGTGTCGAGCCAATGGAAACCCCAAACCCACTGTCCAGTGGATGGTGAATGGGGAACCTTTGCAATGTAAGTAGCGAGCTGCTGTCCCATCTCTTATCTCTCTCCTGTCAAAGACTTCATATCCTTGTCACTGTAGCCAGCGCTGGTCACGCTAGATGATCAGGAAAAGAGAAGCCCACTGGTGGCTGTTTCTCAGCTGCCCATCTCTTCAGACATCTCAAGAGGCAGGAAATCTACCCTATCTTTGTGCCTGAGAACAGGAGGCCTGGAACTGTGTAGTCATATTCCCATGCTTAAGGGATTTCTGCTCCCTTGGGGATTTTTAAATCTCTGCTTTCTTCCCCTGAACAACTTCAGAGCCCAGTTGATGGCCTGGGGACTGTGGCTGTATCTCTGGGGGTTTGGGCTCTGAATGACAGCTGGGGCTTGGAAGGTAGAGTAAAGCTCAGTAACCCATTGTTGGTTACCCAAGTTCTGCTCTCTGCTCAGGGCAAAAGAAGAAGCAGGGATGTGCAATAATGTGACATATTATGGTCAGATATGAGGAAGAACTTCCCCAGAAGAGCAGATGCACAGGTGCAGTTTATCAAGTATGCTTAGACTTGGGGGACATTGAGTTCTGCCCAGGTGGATGGAGTGAATGACGCCAAGTCCTCTTATAGCCAGTGGGCTTGGTCAAGTTTTCACATCATAGACTCTCTGGTTGCATTTACTTTTCTTTTTTTTTTTTCTTGAGATAGAGTCTTGCACTGTTGCCCAGGCTGGAGTGCAGTGGTGCAGTCTCCACTCACTGCAGCCTCCGCCTCCTGGGTTCAAGCAATTCTCCTGCCTCAGCCTCCCGAGTTGCTGATACTACAGGTGCCCACCACCAAGCCCTGGTCATTTTTTGTATTTTTAGTAGAGACAGTGTTTCACTATGTTGGCCGGCTAGACTCAAACTCCTGATCTCATGATCCGCCCGCCTCAGCCTCCCAAAGTGCTGGGATTACAGGCATGAGCCACTGCGCCCGGCCTGCATTTACTCTTCAAAATGTCCTGTCCTTCCTTTCACTAAGTGGTCAGGGCAAAGCATAAGCAATGGTATCACCCAAATGGGGAAACAATAGATGGCGAGAACTCAGAATCTAACTCACGAGCGGCAGCTGGTAGAAGCAGGAGTGGAAGGGGACACAGGGAGAGGAGAGAGTAAGAATTTACCTTTTTGACATTTATTGTGTGCCACATTCTGTGCTACTCTCAAACATTTAAGGCAAGGAAATAAGGTTCTCATCAGTGCAGTGAGTTGCCCAAAATCATATGGCCGGGAAGTGGTGAAGCTGTGGGTTGCCGTGAGTCTGCAAGACAGCTGCACCAGCTAGTGCTGAACCTAGTTATCCCCAGTAAATGTTGCTCGCCCAGTTACAAGCAGAGATATGGACACTGCCTGCCCCCTGCAGTTCTCTCAGTCTTAATAGGACTTTGAGGGTAAGGGAGGCAATTGCACTAAACTTTACAGCACCATTCGGTAAATGCAGCCCAGGACTTGCAGCTGAGCCTCACCCCTGGAAAGGTCACCTGTCACTCTCCTCAGGGGACATTTAAGGGAGTGACTGGGAGGAAATTTAATTGCACAAGAATTTGCCAGGCAAGGAACTGTACAAGTTGCTGGCATTGCCATCCTGTGTCCCGTTTTGCTGAGTGGGGACCTGGGCATGGATGATAAGGATGCTAATCTTGTCATCCTTTACCGTCTGCTGACTCCCTGGTTCTGGGCTCAGACCGGCTATCTGTGAAGTGGCGCCTGTTGGGCAACTCCTGCAATTTCCACTGACTTCCCTTGCAGGTCTGAGTGATCTTGAATGAGTTCACGGACTCTGTAAGCTAAGTCATCGGCTTCCTAGTCCAGAAATCTTAGGAAGGAGAGTCACTTTCTGGTGGTTAAAGATGAGAAAAGTGGCAATTCTTTACATTTTTAGGAAATTTTTGTTTTTACAGCTCATTGTCGTTCTCTTATCTGAGTCTTCCTTCGAGCAGGGGAAAGGTGGAAATGATTTTTCCCCATCTTACAGATGAACGAAATGAGGCCCAGGAAGGTTTGTTGATTTACCCCAGATCCCAGAATGAATGAAGTGTGGGCAGAACCAACACCCCCCAGCCCTCTCCAGTCTCTGCTATCTGCACCCCAAGCCAGCAGTACTGGAACTGTGGGCAAGAATATCCTCTCGCAATTTAGGACACATTTTTGGGGAAGAGCTGTGAGCTTTGGCAAATATAAGGACTCATTTCATTTTTGAGAAACGTTGGCTTATGGGTTTAACTTTGTGAATGTTTGGAGCATGCTCTTCTCAGACAATGGGAAGGTGGTAGGTTCTGTCTATTGTATGTTGCTTTACCTGCACGTTCAATTAAAATGATAATAACAGTATGTGTTAGACCTTCTGTTCATCACTGTGTACATGCATAAAATCTCAGGTTATCTTCACAAAAACCCCATGAGATGATATGCTACCCTCATTCTGCAGACAAGGAGAGTGAAGCTCACAGAGATTGAACAATGCTGGTAGTAAGCGATGTGGTTAGAACTCGAACTCCTTTCTGTGTCCAGAGCTAATGCTCTGAATCACACCTGCCTCGTGGTTTCATAGGTCAAACAGGAATTCATATTCCCATACCCTAGACTAGACTAGAAATAAACCCCAGTAGGTTCAGAGAAGGGCTCAAGGTCACACACAGCCCAGCAGTGGCAAGGCCAGAAGCCCTATCATCTGGCCCCACAGGGTGCTCCCCACAGCCCCCGGTTGTACCTGGGAGCCCTGGCCAGAGCCCCACATGCCCTTCACCCTGCTCTTCCCATCTCTCATGAGGAGCATCTCTTTCTTGTGTGTAGCGGCACCACCTAACCCAAACCGTGAGGTGGCCGGAGACACCATCATTTTCCGGGACACCCAGATCAGCAGCAGGGCCGTGTACCAGTGCAACACCTCCAACGAGCATGGCTACCTGCTTGCCAACGCCTTCGTCAGCGTGCTGGGTGAGTGCACTCTTTGCAGCCTGGCTCTCCCCCCTCCCCGCCACCACATAGTCACCCTGCGGCTTAGTTATATCATGGGGTGCACTTTCTTCTCCTGGGATTGGCCAAGCCAGGTAAGGTAAGAGGATGGTGGACAGGGGAAACATGGAGAAGAGGAAGACATTTGTGGGAGGGATGGAGGACTTAAAATTCACAAAGCTGGATGAGCAAACAGTGAATTCCATCAGAACAGTCAATTTAACTCTTCTTCCTCCCCTGATGAGAGAGGGTGAGTCTGTCCCATCTCCTTGGTGTATCCGTGCTGACTTCCCCTGGGTTCACAGCTGGATCTCATGGTGGGAAATGGTTCTGAGTATATTTGCTGTACCCCCTGGGCAGGGAGAGGGAGGGGGGAAGGGGTAAGCTAGGAAATGCCTCAGGGCTGTGGTGGGGCAGCTACAGAACCTGCTGGATAATTTGGGGGACCCTTTGCAAAAGCTGGCTTGGATGTAGGGTAGGTCGAGGACAGACGGAGGAGTAAGTTTCTGCTTCCCCACCTAATCCTTAGGGGCTTTCTGAAGGAGGGAAGGTTGGTAGGGGAAGGTGTCTCAGTGCTTGGGAAGCTGCTGTAAGCAGAAGGCATGCAGAGGTGAGACCAAGGGGGAAGAGGTGGAAGAGTTAGACTCAGCACTCGAGATCGGTTCTCTGGGAATTTCAGATGTGCCGCCTCGGATGCTGTCACCCCGGAACCAGCTCATTCGAGTGATTCTTTACAACCGGACACGGCTGGACTGCCCTTTCTTTGGATCTCCCATCCCCACACTGCGATGGTAAGTTCCATGAGACCAGGCCTTCCGCAGCAGGGGTCACCTGTCTCATCTTCTCCTTCCCATCTGGCCCATAGTAGGTGTTCAGCAAGACCTGGGAGGTGTTTTTTTGAGACGGAGTCTTGCTCTGTTGCCCAAGCTGGAGTGCAGTGGCGCAATCTCAGCTCACTGCAACCTCCGCCTTCCAGGTTGAAGCAATTCTTCTGCCTCAGCCTCCCGAGTAGCTGGGACTACAGGTGCATGCCACCACACCTGGCTCATTTTTGTATTTTTCATAGAGACAGGGTTTCATCATATTGGCCAGGCTGGTCTCAAACTGTCCTCGTGATCTGCCCACCTCAGCCTCCCAAAGTGCTGGGATTACAGGCGTGGGCCACTGCACCCTGCAAGACCTGGGTCAAAGCTGGGCGCAGTGGGTGGAAGATCAAGACCTGGGAGGAAGCTGGCAGATCATCTGCGTCAGTCCCTCATTGTACAGAATGGAAAACCGAGACCTAGAGAGGGATGGAGGCTTGCCAGGCCACTTGGTGGTTAGAGGCAGACGCTCTGAGGCTCAGGGCTCCAGACTCCTAGCATAGGGGCTCCTTCCACAGCCCGCACGATCTCTCTTAATTGGCTGCTGCCCCTGCCCTTGGGCTGGTCCTGTCTCAGGATGCTGTGTTCTGCTGCTCTGTTGTGAGGTTTAAGAATGGGCAAGGAAGCAATCTGGATGGTGGCAACTACCATGTTTATGAGAACGGCAGTCTGGAGATTAAGATGATCCGCAAAGAGGACCAGGGCATCTACACCTGTGTCGCCACCAACATCCTGGGCAAAGCTGAAAACCAAGTCCGCCTGGAGGTCAAAGGTAAAGGAGAGGGTTTGCTGATGGAAGTTCGGAGAGGGGCAAGGAGGTCATGCTCGCAGTTATCCACACGCATATTCACGTGGAAAATGCACCACACCTATGTTTAACCTGGAGTGGGCTCTTCTGAGTCCATCTAGGATCAGCATGGTCCAAAGAGAATTAGGAAGGGAAACTTTCTGCCCACACCAACTCCCTTCTACCACCCCAGAAATTGCATCATATATTCCTGAGCCAGATGGAGAGGATTTGGGGCATTACCTGCTTTTGTGATTACCCCCCCAGAACTCTGCTGCATTCATACCACTGCACACTGTTCATGCCACGCTCCCTGGTCGGCCCAAGGCCTGGAGGGCAGACATGCACCATTGTGTGGCCACATGGGGGTTCTGGGCAGAAGACAGGCCAGTGGCAAGCACTCTGGGCTTCTCCACAGACCCCACCAGGATCTACCGGATGCCTGAGGACCAGGTGGCCAAAAGAGGCACCACGGTGCAGCTGGAGTGTCGAGTGAAGCACGACCCCTCCCTGAAACTCACCGTCTCCTGGCTGAAGGATGACGAGCCGCTCTATATTGGAAACAGGTTTCTCTTTCTCTCTTTCCTCTTCCTAGTGCTAGTTTGAGGTGCGTTTTCTTTTCCCTTGCTGTTGGTGACACTTGAAGAACACAGGGACAGGGAACCCATGTCTTGCATGTCACCAAGGAGCTACTGCAGAGGAGGCAATGGCCTCAGCGACTCCCCCACTTCAGGGGACAACCCCACACCCTGTAGAACCTCCTTCTGTCCCATCAGCTCCCTGCTTCTCTCTCCTGCACCTCTTCTCTCTCCCTCTTCTCAGTCTGTACTTCTCCTCTCCCTGGCTCCCCTCACGCCTCCTCTTTTCCCTTTCTTTTTGCCCCGGCTTCTCTTCCTCCTCTGCATCCCAGGCTCCAGGCTTTCAGCCCTATTTGCAATACCCCTGATCTTCAGCAGAGGGCAGGGTTGATCTGAGCTGGCTCTCAGCCCTCACTGAACCTGGAATGCTTTTACTTCACCCACCCCTGCCCCTCTCCTCAGATCCTGATTTCACTGGTGTAGGGTAGGACTTAGGCCACTGACAGGGTTTACAAGTCCCCCTGTGTGTTCTAACGTGCATCAGCGTTGAGAACCACTGTTCTGAGCCTCCCTCCCCAAGTCTCACTTTGCTTTACCTTCTTCCGTCGTGGGGGAGCAAAGTTGTGCAGGGCCCTAGAGCTGGACATGGTGCCTGCTGCTTCTAGCCATCATCTGACGTTTTGCAGAGGGTGTCCCCCTCTGCCAACCTCTGGCACTCGGTGCTGGCAGCTCTACAGCCCCATTCTGCTCTGCGGCCTCCCCTCTCTGTAGGAGACAGTTTCGAGGAGCCTGGGGTCAGGATGGCTTGGGCCTGAGTGCAGAGGAGACAAGTCTGGGCTGAAGACAGACAAAGCTGCAAGCATGAGAGGAGAAGGAATACCAGTCTGCCTCTAGGGGCATGGGCCTACCGGTGCCCTAGCCTGGGGGGGGGCCACACAGCACAGTAAAGGCACAGAGGCAGGCACATGTACGGAATTCGAAGGTGGCAAATGGGCTTCAGGAGCACTTGAGCGCCACCCGCTCTCTGTTCTCCTCCATCAAGTATGATGAATGCTCCCGGTGACGGTGAAGACCTCGCCTCTGTCAGAGCATTGAGAGGGAGCCTCATATTCCCCAGAAGGAGCTTCCCTTGCCTTTCTGACTTGAGAGCCCCATCCAGGCAGAAAGCAGTGGGCAGCCCTGAGCACCGCACCCCCCTACGCACCCCTCCCAACCCCTCCTCGGTACCTTTACAGGATGAAGAGGGAAGATGACTCCCTGACCATCTTTGGTGTGGCAGAGCGGGACCAGGGCAGTTACACGTGTGTCGCCAGCACTGAGCTAGACCAAGACCTGGCCAAGGCCTACCTCACCGTGCTAGGTAACTGCCGCTGCTCACCCTGGCGCTGACCAGCCCCACCCCCTCCCCAGCAGCCAGAGAAGCAGTGGCCCAGGACAGTTCTGAGGGCAATGCCTGCAGCCAAGTGGGCAGGTCAGGCATGGTGATCTCTTCTTGCCTTTTGATGTCAGGGTCAGGGAGCTGCCAGTTTCAGAACAAGCTGTGCTGGACAGGTTACCTCCTGAGTGGAGTCATTGACTTCTCCACATCTCAGCTGAAAGGGGCCTGAGTGATATAAAGTGGAGAGGACTTTCTTCTTGTGATCGTTTTACCTTTCTTACAGCTAACTCAACCACTAAGTCAATTAAAACAATCCATCCTTAAAGCAAGACTGAGTTTGTGTTTGTGCTTCCAATGACCTCCACCAACCTTCCTTTCCCCCAGCCCTGTTCCTGGGTTTTGTGGCATTTCATCACGTGCTATGCACTGGGCAAGATGATGCTGCCCCTTCCTGTCCTGCACCCAGGCTGGAATGTAAATACTAAGCTAACTCAAACCAAGAGGAAAAAGGCTTTCCCTCTCCCTTCCAGGGAAGCAGGTCCTCTGTCACCTCTGCCTCCCCGTGGGTGCCCTTCTGCCACTAGCATTGGTGCAGTGGAGAGACACAGTTGCTGGGAGGGTGTGCCCAGGCGCGACAGTCACATTGGGATGGGAAGAAGACAGAGGTGCTATCCCCAGCTGTGGAGGAAACACAGATGGCTTCTATAAGGGTGGGGGATTCCCCATGGAAGGATGGGTAAAGCCTGCCTAGGACGCCTCAGCCCAGGGGCAGCTGTTTAAGCCTCGACTGCCTGCCCCCGTTCCTTCTAGAACACCTTTAGCCCTGGATAACCTGCTAACTTGGATAACCCGTCTTACCTTTGCAGCTGATCAGGCCACTCCAACTAACCGTTTGGCTGCCCTGCCCAAAGGTAATTCCCACTAATCACTGTCCCCCGCCAGTACCCTCTCTCAGCACCCAGGGTGTGGAGCCTGGAGAAGGAAGCCACTTTGGGAAAGGGTGACAGTGTGTAGATTTGTGGGCAGCACTTCCAGCTACATGTGACCTCCTTTCAGTTGCCCACGTCCACCTCCCCAAGCCCAGGTCACGGCCCTACGCTGGGCTTCCTGCTCCTTACACAGGGTGAGCTCGGACGTTCTCAGCTGCTGTTTCACCCCATCCCTTACCTCCAGCCACACTCACCGCTCCCTCGGGGTGGCTATCCTCCCAGCAGTCTTGCAGGTCCTTGTTTGCGGGGAATGCGAAAGCCCGCTCCTTCGTACACTTGTAAACTTGTTGTTCAGCCTCCCTGCATCTAATGCTTTCTGTCCATTTACAATCTACGCACACGTTCTACACACACATGAGCATGGGCCTGTGGGACTCGCCTTCCAGGTCCTTCCAGTGACTAGCCAAAAGATGGAACTACCTGGTCCAGGGAATCAAGATGAAGAGAAAAATCTTGCCTACCCTTACCACTCAGTGGCCGGATGCCTTTATCCCAGGCCAGGAGGGCACTTAGACCCACTAAAGCAGTCCCAGTGAGATTTGTGCCCCAAAAAGGTGCTGCCCTCACCCCTGTTTGCAGGCCTGCTGGGCTCCTGTCCTGCTGCCCATCAGTGAAACTCCTAGACCAAGTCTCCGTCTCCTCCCTGGTCTGGCCCCTTTTCTTTGTTGCCCCCACTCCCCAACCCATCTGCCCTGCTCACAGTCCAAGCCCCTCCTGGGTTCCCATCCCCTCAGAGCCTTGACACACAGAATAGAGGACAATGATGGTGAGAAAATGGGACAGAATCCCACACTCCCTCCTCAGCCTTCCTACGTGTTGTGAGCGTGGGTCTGATGCTGGGTGGCATTCCTGAATGCTTGCACTCTCGGAAGATCCACTGAGACGGGGCAGCGTTGCTCCCCGTTCTCTCTGTGCCCTGCGTAATCCCTTGTATTTCCTTGTTCCACACCCATTGATATCCTTTGTGTGGGGGGGCGGTGCTGGAAGTTTGGGAGTCTCCTTTTTGTTTTTCCTCGGGCCCCTGTGGGAAGGGAGTGGTCCCTCAGGGCAGGCTGGGGTTGGACCCCACTGGTAGTAAACACCTAAGTCCATCAGGGAGCTGTCCAGGGCTCGGGGCCAGCAAATGGGTGGACCTGCTCTAACTCAGGAGCCCTGCATGGTGTCTTCTTCTGCCGCCAGGACGGCCAGACCGGCCCCGGGACCTGGAGCTCACCGATTTGGCCGAGAGGAGCGTGCGGCTGACCTGGATCCCTGGGGACGATAACAACAGCCCCATCACAGGTAGCTCAGGGGCCCCACGCTCCAAAGCTGGAAAAGAGGGATGGTAACACCCTAAACCAAAGGCCTCTCCTGGTTTCCAGTCCCACTTCTGCCTCGCTTGCTGTGTGTCCTGGGCTGTCCTCAGAATGTAGAGAGGCCTTGGTGTCTCTTCCTGTGCCCTGGGAAGAATTCTCCCTGTGCCTTTGTGTGAACGAGATTATACAGATCAGTGGAAGCCAAGGAAGAAGTGCTTTTAAAGAAGAACGCTGCTCATTGAGCTCCCGAAACAGCTCTGTTTTCCTTGCCCACTCAGACTACGTCGTCCAGTTTGAAGAAGACCAGTTCCAACCCGGCGTCTGGCATGACCATTCCAAGTACCCCGGCAGTGTTAACTCAGCCGTCCTCCGGCTGTCCCCATATGTCAACTACCAGTTCCGCGTCATTGCCATCAATGAGGTTGGGAGCAGCCACCCCAGCCTCCCGTCCGAGCGCTACCGAACCAGTGGAGCACGTAAGTACCCAAGGGCTGCCATAGAAGGCCCTGGAACCCCGCACCCCAAATTCACACTGAGTGTCCCCCATTCCCAGCCACATGAACTTAGGTTACTTAACTTCTCCAAGGCCTGGGCTCCTCATGTGTGAAGTAGAGAGTAATTATAACACCTACATCACAGAGCTGTTGTGAACATTTGAGAATGTGTCAGGTACTTACCATGATGCCTAGCATTTAGTAAGCACATGAAAAATGCTAACTTCCATTTTTATTTTATTTATTTATTATTTTTTTGAGACAGAGTTTCACTCTTGTTGCCCAGGCTGGAGTACAATGGCAGGATCTCGGCTCACGGCAACCTCCGCTTCCCGGGTTCAAGCGATTCTCCTGCCTCAGCCTCCCGAGTAGCCGGGACTACAGGCATGTGCCACCACGCCCGGCTAATTTTTTGTATTTTTAGTAGAGATGGGGTTTCTCCATGTTGGTCAGACTGGTCTTGAACTCCTGATCTCAGGTGAACTGACCTCAGGTGATCCACCCGCCTCGGCCTCCCAAAGTGCTGAGATTACAGGCATGAGCCACTGCACCCAGCCTTAATTTTGTATTTTTAGTAGAGACAGGGCTTCTCCATGTTGGTCAGACTGGTCTCGAACTCCCAACCTCAGGTGATCCGCCCACCTCAGCCTCCCAAATTACTAGGATTATGGCCATGGGCCACCGCGCCTGGCCACTTCCATTTTTATTATTAGTGATTCTTGATTATCTGCCTTAAAGGGGAGAGCTATGGCAGAGGTACAGCAGAAATACATAATTCAGTGTGAGAAATATGTAAATTGGTATTACATCAGATTTCTTTTCCTAATACTCTTGGGTAATATTTGGATTTCTGAAATCACACCAGCTCAAAGAGGGTGGAGATGCTGCCCCAAAAAATGTTAAATGTCAGGGATAAGCCAGTCTGCTATGAAACACATTTAGTAGATAATCCACAAAGGAGCTAATCCACATTGAGCTGGCTTACTGACCACCCACAGTGTGGAAAGCCTTATGATAAATGCTATCTGGTAAAGGATTAAAATTCAGAAGTAATTAGCCCTGCTCTGGAAGTTTTAAATCTCAGCTCAGAAGGCACATCATGCACATGAGGAAAAGGCAGAGTCAGTTCATTTACACATGAGACCCAGTGTGTACACAGACACCGAGAAAAGACAGAGCATAGGACAGACCCATCAGATGGGATGGAGGGAGGTAAGGCACAAATTGGACTTGAACCTGTGTCTGTTTGGATTCCAGCTCCCGAATCCAATCCTGGTGACGTGAAGGGAGAGGGAACCAGAAAGAACAACATGGAGATCACGTGGACGGTAAGAGGCCCTCCCAGCCCCAGTGGGGCAGCTCACCTTGCTGTGTGCACCAGGAGCCTCTCCCTTGATAACCCAAGACTCCAAGGCCACAGTGTGCTTCAGACTCTCTGGCTAATCTTGGTGGACATTCTTCTTTGAGAAATCAAGCTCCTCTCTGAGTTGGGCATTCAGAAACCAAACAGGACAAATGCCTAAGAGTAAGATTTCAGAGAGGAGACAGGAGCAGAGGTTACTGGGTTCCACCAACTGGAGTCTAACAAAACGCATGGAGGATGCAGCTAAATCAAGCGGACTTCTCTTGAAGGAGGAGGGACTGGGGTTAGACTTGGAAAGGATCTAAGCACAACACCAAACCAAGTTTCAGTGTTTCTAGGGCCCTTTGCCTGGAGATGTGTGGGAGCTGGGGAGAAACCAGTGTCTGAGATGTGTCCAGCACGGGCTTTCTTTTGGTCAGAGAATGGAGTAGGTGACTCCAAAGACTCCCTCTGGTCTTATAAAATCCCATCTTCATGCCGGCTCACTGACTGCATTTTCCAAACCAAAACTGGAGTGTGTGGTCTCAAAATGACTCTTTTTCCACACTACTTCCCAGTCTGAGAATGCAGATGCAGCCACTGAAATATTAACATTTCTGAGCTTCTGCCATGAGGAATGGAAACGGGAGATGCACTGTTCGGGATCCTGAGCTTCCCTGTCTTTCTGAAGGCTGTGCCCATGGCAGCCGTGGTCCAACAGAGCAGCAGCCGCTGGGCTGAGCGCAGATTCAGGACCTGGCCTGTGGCTCCGTATGGCAGGCTCCCCGGGGACTGATTCCTGGGCCCTTAGAGAATAAAGAGCAGACTCACACCCACCGTTAAAGAACTCTGACCTGTTGGGAAGGACAGGACACACACAGATTCGGTAGAACAGAAGTCCTTTCTGGAATTTTGAGTTCATTAGCAGGAGCCATGCTGTGGTTAACCAAAACTCATCTCTTCTGACTTTGGAGAAGCTTACCTTATTGTCTTTATTACTGTTGCTCCTGTCACACGAAGGAGTTCTGTTGAAAATAAAACCTTTGCACCTGCAAATGTGGGTGGCTCTCAGAGTCAGAGTAACTGGGTCTCAGGCGAAGCCTTTGTCACAGAAAATCTGCATGCTGCTGGGCTTTTGGGGGACTCACTGGGGTAGGGGAGGTGGTCTCCCTGACCCTGCAAAGGGGTGGGCCAGTGTTGGGCACATCTGGAGGGGATGCCTGGCACAGCAAGAGAGGGCAAGCTGTGGGTGGATCTGGGCCCGTCTCCGGCAGCCTCCCCAGCCTGTCTGTCCCTCTGCCCAGCCCATGAATGCCACCTCAGCCTTTGGCCCCAACCTGCGCTACATTGTCAAGTGGAGGCGGAGAGAGACTCGAGAGGCCTGGAACAACGTCACAGTGTGGGGCTCTCGTTACGTGGTGGGGCAGACCCCAGTCTACGTGCCCTATGAAATCCGAGTCCAGGCTGAAAATGACTTTGGGAAGGGCCCTGAGCCAGAATCCGTCATCGGCTATTCCGGAGAAGATTGTGAGTAGTCTCCTCCCCGTCTCCCCACCAGGACCCTTGTGGCTCAGTCGCACGAGGCCACGCTCACAGGCCAGGAACTTTGGGGCAGTTATAGGAGGACAGCAGTTCCCAGGAAGGAGAAATCTCCTGTAGTGACCTAGGCCTAGAGTGACCCAGTCATGTCAGGAGTGGAAATATCATCATCTGAACGTAGTTGGAATTACTGAGTGTCCTCACCCAGTCCAGAACTCTCATTTCACAGATGTGAAAACTGAGGCCCACAAAGGGAAAACCCTCGCAGTGTTCCAAGAACAGAGCCCAGGTCTTCCGATCCCCTGCAGTCTACCTTACTGCTAAGCCATGCTAGTACCAAGAAAAACGTCAGGATTACCCATCCCAAAGAGCTATAATTAGACACCTCCATAGGAAGCAGGGCAGCAGGCCAGAGGCTCCCCTGGGGAAGGCTTGAGGGATCAGGAGGCCTCCACAGCACTAGACAGGAGTGCCCCAGACCAGACCCTGCTGGTGCTCCCGCTGCGGCTCCCAGCCCTGGGAACTGAGCACAGAAAGAGATGGTCTTTTGGGGCTGGCCCCTGGTAACACAGCAATATTCTGGTCATATATGTGGACATATATGCCTGGCTAACTAGAGCAGGGGTGTCGGGGAGTCCCCTCCTGGCTGAGGGCCTTCATGCCCTGTTGGGTCTGGGTCTGATGGAAGAAGAGATCATGTAAGTGGATGGGGTGGGCAGAAAGAAGGGAGCAGGGACAGTCTTGGGTGGGGGGACTCAGAAAGAGCAGTCAAGATTAGGCCTGGTGGCTTTCCTAACAGTGAGATGGAAGAAGGGAGGTCTGGGCTCTGGGCCCCACTTTCCCAGAGGTGATTATGGATTGGACTCACAAGGGAGATGAGCAGAGAGGGTCAGCGGGGCCTCTGTCCATCCCACTCCTCACCTCCATGGTGGCGGGCACTTCAGACAGGAGCCAGATGGGACTACTGGATGGTAAGTGTGAAGGGTGGCATCTGTTCACGGATTTCATGGGCCAGCCCGCAGTTTCCATTGCATGCTTCCACCCTGCGGCCCACGCTCTGAGGGATTAGAGGGGACGAGGCAGAGTGCTTTTGCGCAGAGTGGAGGAAACAGGAACAAGAATCAGTTATGGGGGAGAAAGGAGCCTTCTTTTTCCAGGTAGCTGCAGGGCCAAGATCACTTCCTGAACTAGGTTAGGGCATCTTCAACCTGTGGGTAATGTTTCCTGTTAGGAAACAGATGCACTCTCAAAAGGTGCTATTCATAACATGTGGATAGAGTTTGAGGGAAAATGGCAAGATATGCAACCTTGAGGGCTGGCGGCAGCAGGAAGCCATCATACCACTCTGAGCCTCCATTGACAGGGATAGATGAGTCCACAGCCTGCAAGGACTGCCCTTGGGAGCCATGACCTTAGGCGGAAGAGCACAAGGCAGGCCAGGCGCTGTGGCTCATGCCTGTAATCCCAGCACTTTGGGAGGCCAAGGCAGGCGGATCACAAGGTCAGGAATTTGAGACCAGCCTGATCAACATGGTGAAAACTCATCTCTACTAAAAATACAAAAAAATAGCCAGGCATGGTGACACATGCCTGTAATCCCAGCTACCAGGAGGCTGAGGCAGGAGAATCTCTTGAACCCGGGAGGCGGAGGTTGCAGTGAGCCAAGATCGCCCCACTGCACTCCAGCCTGGGCAACAGAGTGAGACTCCGTCTAAAAAAAAAAAAGAAAGAAAGAAGAATACAAGGCTGTCAACCTGTAGCCCAGCAAAGAGTAACCCAAGGGAACCGATATCCACCCTTCCTCTCCTCCTGCCCTGGGGCCTCCTGTTGGCACCTGCTGTTGGTTAAACCCATCTGGAAGCCTGAGAATGGAGTTCTACTGATAAGATCCAGTGAGGGCAGCCCCCCAGGACACCGAGCAGGGTGGGGAAGGGTGGAGGATGAAACAAAGGGGCAGATGGAAACTACCCAGCACAGGAGGGGACAAATGACTGCCCTCTAAACATGTAGGTAGAGTCCCTTCCACCTGGACTGCCACCCTTTTGTTCTAAGCCTTCCCCGCCTCCCAACACTTTTTCAAGTACTGTCTGATGGAGGAGACCTGATCCCTGCCCTCATGGGGTACCCAGTGTTGAGTGGAGTGTGGGTACAGGCCAGCAGAGAACAAGTCAGAAGCAACCCTAGAGTCCAGGGGCCAGCCTGCCTACATAACCAGCTCTCTGTCCCGACACATTGCAGATCCCAGGGCTGCGCCCACTGAGGTTAAAGTCCGAGTCATGAACAGCACAGCCATCAGCCTTCAGTGGAACCGCGTCTACTCCGACACGGTCCAGGGCCAGCTCAGAGAGTACCGAGTGAGGAAGCCAGCTCCGGACTCACCCAACCACCCAGCTCACTAACCAGGGCCAGGGGTAGCAGATGCGGGGCATAAGATATTTGAAAGAAATCCTAGGGGTATTTATTGAATCCAGAGTTGACTCAAGATGATTCCAGGGTTAAATGTTCAAAAATATACCCAGAAAAAAAAAATATATATATATATATATACCTAGATATGTCCAGCAGATATGCTGAGAGATTCTGCTCAGCAGAAAATCATGTGAAGGGTGGTGGGTTTGGGCTCGTGTTGCATAGCACATTGCATTTGGAATACATGGGTGAGTGGGCACACATGTATCTTCAGAGCAGTGTCAAGGCACCACTGAGCTGCACCCCTGCCCTCTCCCAATGGCCCCTACTGGGCTGCTTACCTCCTAAGCCACAACTAACAGGCAAAGCCACTGAAAGCATGCAAATGCCCTCCCTGCTGTCGCAGCCAACTACAGATAACCCAGTATATGGACTTCCAAGGCCCTTGGCTTCTCTTGGTCCTCCCTGCCCGGGAGCAGTTCCTACTCAATCATCCCTCCTCTTCAAAAGGGTGAGCTAAGATGGGAAGAAGAGAGAGCTCCCACAGTAGTCACGGCGCTCCCTTCTGAGTAGCGCTAATTAAAAGTTGGCTGGAAAGTGAGAGAGGCAGTAACTGACTAATGCAGGTTCTGGGGCCTCAGAGGTTATCAAGAGTTGGCTGCTGTACAGTTGGGCGCACAGAGAAAGGGGCTAGTCTCTTCTCAGGAAATGAATTTGGCCAGTAGGGGAAAGAAGGCAAAGTAATGTGTACACTTGAATGAGCTCTTCCCCACAGTTGACTTGCATTCTTAACCTACTTGCTTAGAGATTTTTCTGGCTAAAGCTCCCAGTGGGTCCCTCTCTACATCTGGACTCCTCCCTACCTTGCCACGGGCAGCCTGGGAGACACTGGTGTGGCCACCTGACCTGTGGCTTCTTACTCACTGCTAATTAGAGACCTCATGTTGCCCAAACTCATTCCACCATCCCCTGCAACACCACTGCCTTCCATAGCTGTCCCTTCCCATCCAAGCTCTGCTTTCATGCAGCCTTGCGTCCCGCTGACTTGGACATGTGACTGTCTCTTGGACATGTGTCTGTCTCATCCCTAAAGGTCTTCCAACAATATGAAAAGAAATCATTTTACTTCAAAGGATTAAATCAACCCTTTCTCATATTCAGACTTCTGAGGGTAACCTACCTTTCAACTGCTGCCTGCAGTCAATCTAAACCATACTAATCCAATTCAAGGTGATGTGGTCTTTGAGCGCAGAGTGGAGCTTTCCATGCCTGGACCCTTGGCTCCTATTTTTGGTTCTGGCACAGACTCCCTGAGCAACCTGGTACCCACCTTGGAAATCAGTCTCATGATGGAGCAGCTCAGATGTAAGTTTGGCCAACTTGCTCATTCCCCAGAGACATGGCATGGATCAGAAAATAATTGGAACCAAAACCCCTATTTGGCTTGACATAAATTCGTGTTCATGAGTGGCTAATGAATGGGAACTAAAAGGCTGCTTCCCCAGCCTGTATAGGACTGATGAGGTCATTTGGGACTTGGAGCCTGTAGCAAGCAAAGGAAAGACCGGTCACTGCCACCACCACTAACAACTAACCTGGCCCTGCCTGCCTGACCCCTCACCAGCCTGCCTCTGTCCCGAAGGCCTACTACTGGAGGGAGAGCAGCTTGCTGAAGAACCTGTGGGTGTCTCAGAAGAGACAGCAAGCCAGCTTCCCTGGTGACCGCCTCCGTGGCGTGGTGTCCCGCCTCTTCCCCTACAGTAACTACAAGCTGGAGATGGTTGTGGTCAATGGGAGAGGTGACGGGCCTCGCAGTGAGACCAAGGAGTTCACCACCCCAGAAGGAGGTAGGTCTGGCCCGCAGCTCTTCAGGGTGGGGCAGGAGGAGGGCGGCACACACCCCCGGGCCTGGAGAAACTGCAGTGTGGCTCGGCGTGGATGGAACGAGGTGACTTCTGCGAGGCCTCCAGGAACGGATGACCTGCAAGCTGAGCCACCACAGCCATTCCCAGAGCACCATCACCAAGGTGACCTGCCCTGCCAGGAGGTTGTACCTCAAGAGAAGACCTGTGAGGTCTGCTGACATAATTCCAGACAGGCTGTGCAGACTGATCCCCGAGGGCACAGCGGGTGCCTGGGCAGCCCCACCACCTTCCGAGGCAGAGGGCAGCACATCCGTCCTGACTGCCTGAAGCCATCTGATTTGTTTGCCAGCACCCAAGATCTTCACTGTTCTCCCCCCGTGTTCTCAAGAAGCTGTCACTGAGATAGTCGGCCTGTGTGTGCGGTGGCTCTGCAGAGGGATGCCCAAGTATAGCCTCGCCTTCCGTAGGTCCATGGTTTGACCTGGCCCTGGGGTCAAACCCCTATTTTCTGTTTCACATAAATTCAAGTTCATGAATTAACAGATGACTGCAAAGCTCCTGGTTCATCGCCTTGTCCTTGCCAGTCTTCTTTTACCTGCTTTGCATCTGTTTCATCCTCCTGTTTCTTCTCCCTGCCTCTTTAACTGCTGTTTTCCCTCTTCTCTTCCTCCTGTCCTCTGTTTTTCCCTCTTGTTCTCTTTATTCCTGTCTTTCCCTCCCCTTGGTTTGGTTTTCATCATTGGCCTCTCCCCAACACTCCTGCCCTTCCACCTTTTCCAGATGTTCCACCCTGGGTTTCTGTCTCCTTACCCCTGAACCCAGCATTCTCAGCTCAGAAGCCTGGACCCAGTGATGAGAATCCTTGTCTGAGGATGGGAAACTGCAGCCTCTGTACAAAACAGCTTTAAGTGGTTCTCTACCTAGGAATGGCTCTGCCCAATTTGGAGGTATCTTTGCAGAATCAGAGCCTAATGTGTGCTGAATCCAGGGTAGTCGCGAGAAAACCTGATTTACTTCTTCCTCTCTTAAACAGCAGAGACTGAGCTATGTTTTTCCTCAGACCTGGAGGCAATGGCATCCTGGATGGGGCAGTGGCCTCCAGTCGTCTCACGGTTCTCCCGGGCTTTGGTTTAGCAGTGTCCAGCACGGGGGTTGTCCAGAGGTCAATGCCTTCATACTTGTGCTTTGTTTTCTGTGTTTTCCTCATCCTCCCTGCCCCTCCCCTTCATCTCCCCTGCTCTCTCCTCCTTCCCCAAGTACCCAGTGCCCCCAGGCGTTTCCGAGTCCGGCAGCCCAACCTGGAGACAATCAACCTGGAATGGGATCACCCAGAGCATCCAAATGGGATCATGCTTGGATACACTCTCAAATACGTGGCCTGTACGTTCTGCCCTTGCCTTTCTTTTAGATAATCTGGGAACCAAAAACCCCATTCTCACCACTTTTCCTAAGGACTCAAGGTAGAAAGCCTGGGGGTGCAGATGGCATTGTGGAGGGATGGAGGGGCCAGTGAAATAGTTCCCTATAGGATTAGGGGAGGAGGTGGGACTCAATCCCTGCTCTCCTTACGTAGCTCTGCCTGCAGGGAGCTTATAGTCTCACTGATGAGACAAAGGAAACTCCAGTCTAATGAGGGAGACAGCCATGACATTTAGGGATCTTATGTAGTCTCCAGCACGTACAAAGTCTAGGGGGGAGAGTTCCTCAGGCTCTGGAGCTTCCACCTGATGGGGTAGACAGTATATTCACGGGAGCCACAGACCGTCAGGACACCCCTTGACAAGTTGTCATTTATGATGAGGCGGCTCCATGTAGAGCTGCCCAGTGACTATGGGGGTGACCCAAATCGGGAGCCTAGGTTGGAAAGACCCCTCCTCAGGAGCTCAACATCACCATGCAGGGACAGGAGTGCCATTACATTTGAAGCACTTTAGGCCTTCAAAAGTAGGTAACACCTCATTGAGATACTCAAAAGCTGAATGTTGTGTTGTTAGCAATTTTAATAGCCAACTGTGTGCTTGTATGCTGTTCTGAATTGATCTCTGGACCAGACCCATTCACCCTTTGAGGTCCATTGAATAGGCCTTTTACAAAGGAGGCATTAAGAATCAAAAGGCCTAGTGGCGTTGCCCTAGTTCTATTTGAAAGGAAGAAAGAAAGTGAAGAGTTTTATCCTTGTTGAAAGGGCTTAAGAATATAAACTGAATCTTTCTGAATCAGCCACATAACTCTGCAGTGAGCTAGAGACAATGGGATAAGTGAAGAAGGATTAACCCTGGTGCAATCAAAGAGCCGGGAAGGAGTCCTTGCCCAGCCTTTGAACCAAGCTTTTAAGATCACCAGGCAGGTGCCATCATTTCCCTTTCCAGCAAAGCCAGGCAGGTGTTCTCCCTCCAGCTTGCAGGTTATATAACCCATCAATAAATGTTGCTAAAGTTCAATTCCACTTACCTCTCTCTCCCCAGTTAACGGGACCAAAGTGGGAAAGCAGATAGTGGAAAACTTCTCTCCCAATCAGACCAAGTTCACGGTGCAAAGAACGGACCCCGTGTCACGCTACCGCTTTACCCTCAGTGCCAGGACGCAGGTGGGCTCTGGGGAAGCCGTCACGGAGGAGTCACCAGCACCCCCGAATGAAGGTAGGTACTTGGCGGCAGCCCCTAGGGTAAAAGGTCCCTGCTAATTCAGAGGCCTGGAGAAACACACTGAGAGCTGTAGCTGGCTGCCTGGGCAACAGAGGAAATGAGACCGGCAAGTCCTCAAGCCCTTGGTAGGTGAGAACCCGTCTTATGTGTGAGAGGTAGGTGCTGGCATTGAATCTGAAGCTCAGCTCTCCTTGGACACTGTGGTCAGACCTGCGCCCCACTTGCCCTGACTTGCTCAGCCACTTGACATCTATCATCTTTCCTTCTTGTAGAGGAATAAGGAAGAGAGCAGAGTTGATAGATGAGAGAGAGCATAATGAACTCCAAGAACAGTGAGTGTTCACCTCTTCAGGGAGGCAGGAATATGATTGTGAGTGCCCCATGAGGGCTGTGGGGTCAGTCTTCTTTTCTCAAAGGCACCTGAGTTCAAGGAGGCAGGGGAAACTGTCATGACAACACTACTTACTGGCATCGTGTGTAGAGCAGAGAATGTGGTCCCTTCTTGCAGCCTGAATTGGGTGAGTTGTCAGGCTGCAAAGAGGAGGAGGAGTTGGGAAACAGCCCTTTGCCAAGTCAGCTTCACAAAGAGCAAATGAGTTCATCTCCTGGATCCAGGCATCATCTGGTAGCATTTCATCCCCCACCAGAGCTGCACCTGCCTGAGTATTCCACTAGAGGGGGCTCCAGGCTCACCTGCACATGAGCTGGCGTCAGTGGAAATGTGCACTCTGGGACCTCTCGAGGAGGCAAGGCTGTACTCAACACTGGCACACCCCCTGGGAAAGGCTGAGGACCCGTGTGCCTCTCCAGAGATACAATGGTCTATTCAACAGCCATTTCTTGAGCACCTACAATGTGAGGTGCCAAACACTGCCACACACAAGGGATATACAAAGGTAATAAGTAGCTCTCACCATCTAGAGGGGGAGCCATCTATATACAAGAATATCTCATTGCATGTCTAAACGAGGAGGCACAGTGGCTGGGCAGAGGAGGGGCTTCATTCTTCACAGGAAGACTCCAGAGAAGAGGTGATGTGAATGGCGCCCTGGAAGCTGTTAAGTCATTGTGTCTGATGCTTTCCACAGAAGGCTCAGAGTCCTCGGCTTGGCCCAGGCCCACACAGGGTCTCCTGAGCACCACCCCCACCCGCATTCCCGGAGAGCATCAGTGCTGCCTTCTCTGGGGCTTCCAGGTCACGCTGCATCACCCCGGGCTCCCAGGCAGCTTTGCAAGCTGCCCACATCCTTCCCTGGCCCACCATTCTAGCCAGCAGCCCAGTGCTGAGGCAGAGGAAGAGGGGCCATGCAGAAGTGGAGAAAGGCTGACAGCCCTCCCTGCATCCCTCTCTGGTCTCTTAAACCAGGAGTGAGTCACACAACCAGCTCTCCCTCCTGCTGTCTCCCTTCTGCACTCTCCCAAGCCCCTGGGTACCCAGGAAGTTTTCTTAGGGTGGTGGTGAGGGGGTACTCAGGTTAGTGGCTGATGTGTGTCTGTTACCAAAGGCCAGGCTAGGCCATGCCCCTTCTTGATTACTCAATTCTGTAGGTAGACAGCCCCTTCTTCCCTCCCTATCTGTACCCCAATACAGAACATCAGATAAACAAAGCCCCATTGTCCAGCCCCAGTAACCACCACAGGGAATGTTCTGCAGCCCCAGGGGACAAGATGACAAAGAGAGGCTTTTTTCTTAACTTAGGGCCTTGCAGAAAATTCAAGAATTTCACTTAGGGCTCTCAGTCCAAAAAAAAAGAAAACAAAATAAACAAAGAAAGAAGAAAGGGCTCTCAGTCCAAACTTGGGTTTCTAATTTCATAAAGTCCAACTTGAGGGGAAGAACTGGAGTGACGGAATACCAGGACAGGGGCTCCATCCTTCAAAGCTCCCACCTTCCAAGGTTGCGATGGTGTGGGGGCGGGGGCGGCTGAACACACATCCTCTCTCCTGTCCATCCCACTACTCAGCGTCTTCCCCCAAAGACAGGACCATCCTTTTGACAGGAGTTGGTGTTGGTATCCTCCCACACCACCTACTCCTTTTCCCCTCGATTCCTGGCATCATGGGGGGTCACCAAGCCTGCTCAAAGGTCATGCCAACCTAGCCAGAGCAGGACATGCTATTGAGGACAGAGCTGGGAACACAGTACTCTGAGTGGACTGTCCCTGCTGCCACCTCTTAGCTGTCCAGTCCTTGAATCGAGGTAGAAGCAGTGTGTTAGAAAGGTCTCCGAGGCCCAGGTGGAAAGGTTTCTGTAGGAACATGCCTGCCTCAAGTGGAGATGACCACGAACCCTGAATGCCACTTGGCACCCTCAGGCCAGCAGCCAGCACCTGGCCACACCGTCTGTATAAGGTTTGGGCTGGAACCTTCTCTGCTTGCTTGTCCCATGGTTTCACTTGTGCTCTGTTTTCTCTCTTCCCTTTTCCATCCTTTCTCCCTCTGTCTGGCCATCTTGGGTGCTGTGTTCTGAAGCTACTCCAACCGCAGGTACCGTACCAGCAGCGGAGGTAATGGGCATGGCATGGGGCAACGCAGGCGGAGCCCAGCCCAGCCAGGGTGGACAAGGAGGGAGAGGCTTGGGCTGAAAGCATGCTCCAGACTCACCCTTTCAGTGGTCTGGAAGCCAGACTGTCAAGGGGATGTGTGTGGAGGATGGGACCAGAGGAGAGCAAGCCTGCTCTCCCTGCTTCCAGAACTCTTTGACCCCTGCTGAGAAGGAGGATGGCTCAGCAGGGACCCCACATGCACTGGCCCTGACCTGCTCTCTGGTGCTGCAGTTTGATTCTGACACTGAGTAGATTACTTCCCAGGAACCACCTGAGCCGTCGCCTGGGCTTGACATCTCAGTGTCACGTGTCTCAGTGTCCCCAGCTGTGGCCCTAGAAGGCGTGCTGCAGCAGGAGCAGGGACAGCTGACTCCTAGTGGGGCTGCCGTCCCCTGAAAGGGTGAGCGCGCTGTGCATGCCGGCTTTGCATGTTGCATGGGGGCCCAGCACCGGCTCTGCCAGCCACCACAGGCTCTGCTCAGCGAGAGCAAGCAAGCATGGCCTGGATAGGGCCAGGTGCTCCAGTTCCTGGAGTCTCAGCAGGCGCCATAGGCTGATTATCTCCTCATCCTTCAGAAACCCAGCTTCTCCAAGTCTTTAGCGTTAAGAACAGTCTCCGCTCTCGGGATGTGGGAGGTAGATCTACCGAGAGTGAGGAGCTGGGCAGCTCTGGGCTTAGGCAATGACTTGCTAACCAAGTTCCTCCTCTCTAGTCCTCATGTCATGGGTTTGAGGGCCATCAAAGGGCTCTTCATCACAGGAGGGCTGTCCCCAGGCTGGGGAGACAAGGCAGGGGAGCCCAGAGTTCCTTTCCAGGCCCCCCACTGAGCCTGAATTACATCAGATGGCGAATGAGAATAGGATTCACCCTGGCAAAGCAGAGGCTATGAGCAAGCACTCACCAGAGCCTCCTTCCATGACAGGCAGCGGAGGGAGGACTGAGAACCGGGGCAGGAATCTGAGGGTTGGCTAATGAAGGGGATGCCACCTTGCCCAACTGTGTTTCCTCCTCACCTCTGTTTATTCATGCCCACCCCCATCCTAGCTGATTCTATTTCTGTTGCGCACCCTGCTTCCTTCAGTTTGTGTTGTTTTGCAGCCAGATCTGCGGATAGTGAGCTCCCATCAACCTTCCCTCTCTCCCCCAGTCCTCACCCCCACCCCACCCAGTGCCTCCCCACAAGGCCTGAACACCCCTGCAAAGATGTGAGGCAGAGAGGTGATCCCAGGCCTGGGGACCAGGGAGAGAGCCATCCTTACCACACTGGGGGCCTCCCTGACTTCCTGCTTGAAGTTTACATAAGTTTCTCCTCTGACAAAGAGAAAATGCAGGGAGGGCACCAGGAGAATCAGTGGCAAGCTCATTGGTGAGGCAGCTCCCCATCCACCTCCCTCATTCTGGCACCCTTAGGCAGGCAGCGTGGTGGCAGGCAGTCTGCCTAGTTCAATGGGCATCTGTGCTGGCCTGTGCTGCCCCTCTACTGAGTGAGTGAGAGGTATATTTGCAATCACCCACTTCCTACTTCCCATTTAGAAAAGATCTAAACTCATGTTACGCAGCATGAGCTCACGGTCTCAATCAAATGTTTCCTGGGCTCTGGCTTCCATGTGACACGGCGGTGGAGGCAGATTGCACTTTTTTGGAAATGAGATGTGCTGATAACATCAGCTGTTCTCAGCTTTAAATGCGTAAGAACCTTCTGCACAATGAGCAGTGCCAAGCAACGGAACTCAGGTTCCATGTTTGTGACGTGAGCCTGGCGTCCAGCCCACTGCTGTCTTCCCTCTCGTCCTCTCCAAACCTGGGCGCTGTGTCCCCAAACTGCTCTGTTCATCTCTCACCCAGTGAAGATAATCCCTGTCATCCACCTGTATCTGCAGTCTCTTAGGATTGCCGCCCATCTGTCTGACAATCTGTGATTTGGCCAGGGTAGTCAACGCGCCATGTGGACATTTTTGGACGAAACCTTCCACCTTGGAATGTCTAGGCAGTGTTGTCCTCGTCTTTGACTCAGGGCTCTTGATAGGTGCTCTGCTCTGCAGCATGTTCTGGGGGCAGAAAGATGAATGACACATGTCATCTCTCCTCAGTGTTCGCGGTCTCCTATATAGTGCTCCCTGAAACCCTTCTGGAAAACCCTTGGCCATGGCAAGGGTACCCCCCAGTGTGCGTTAGGTCACAAACCTGTGAGGTTGACACTGCCATCTCGGAGGGGCCTTGTGCTTCCGGCTCTAGGCCCCTGAGGATCCCCCTTTAGCTAACAGAGGGTCTCTGCCCCCTCTCCTCGGTTACCAGGCCGATGATCTCCACTGAGCGCTGGCCAGGATTGCTTCCAAACCTGTAGCTCCTGTTGTGGCAGGAAATGACATCCTAGCCCAGTCGTGTGTCCGTCCCACCTGGGGCCGCTCTGTTTGTAAGCCCTACTTCTCAGCTTCATTGCTCTTTATCCTTCCCCCACCTCAGCGCTAGGGAATGAAACAATCTGAATCTCCTTTGTCCTGAGCAGTGGAAGCTTCTCCCCATGGACCACTTGTCCTCTCGTTCCTACTCATACCAGCTCCCTGGCAGCTCACTGCCTGACTCTTCTGCACCTTCCCTCGGAGGCTTTTCTTCTTTCCCCCACCCTTCCTAGCTCTCTGGGGGCCCTGTCCAGCCTTGGGACAATAGACACAGCTAATGAGTGGGTCGGAGATTTGCCAGCAGTGACCTCAGCCAGCTGAGGTTGTATCCTCTATGGTAACTTCGATGGTGGGAGCCCCGAGGAGGCTGCCGGAATGTGGCCCCTTTTCTCTCTCTCATCTCTTGCTCCCTCTTACTAAGCGTGAGCCAGAGAGGAAGCAGCTAGGTAGCCATCATCAAAGAAAATGCTTCCTTTCTGCTACAATTGGCAGAGTGGCCATCAGGGGAGGGGACAATGCAGTGTAGAAACGTCTTCAGAGCCATCTCTCATCCTTGCCTCTGCCCAGCAGGGCCAGTGAGGAAAATGCTGTCACCTAGGCTCTCTTGACATCTCTGTCCCCCCGCTACTCACTGGAACATCCTGGGAAGCCTGTGCCCCAAGCTTTGGCCCTGTTGGGGTATGAGAGAGAGAGAGAAAGAGTGTGTGTGTGTATGTGTGTGTGTGTCTGCGTGTCTGAGGGCCACAGGCCACATGAGACAGTGTATAGTTTTGGGGAAGATGGACTTGGATTCTGGCGCCTGGGGAATGTAGCAGCCACTTCACCTGTGGGAAGGGAGGCCCGTGCCCCTATACTACACGGTATGATGATTCAGGTTAAAAGGCAGTGCTTTCTTTCTTGTTTTGTTTTGAGGTTCAGTCTCGCTCTGTCACCCAGGCTGGAGTGCAATGGCGCGATCTCGGCTCACTGCAACCTCCCCCTACCAACGGTGTTTTCTAATTATGCCTTTTAGATAGTCATGAGAAGGGGCACCTTGTGAGCATCTCATTTCTCAGAAACTATTAGAAAATATACTATCAATAAAGAACTATGGCCAGGCATAGCACTTTGGGAGGCTGAGGCCAGAGAATTGCTTGAGCCTAGGAGTTCAAGACCAGCCTGAGTAACCTAACAAAATCCCATCTCTGCAAAAAATACAAAACTTAGCCAGGCATGATGGACCTGTAGCTGGACCTATAGTCCCAGCTACTCGAGAGGCTGAGGTGGGAGGATTGCTTGAGCCTGGGAGATCAAGGCTAGTGAGCAATGATCACACCACTACACTCCAGCCTGGGTGACAGAGCAAGACCCTGTTTCAATTAAAAAAAAAAAATCATCCAGGCGTGGTGGCTCACACTTGTAATCCCAGCCCTTTGGGAGGCCGAAGTGGGTAGATCATGAGGTCAGGAGATCGAGACCATCCTGGCTAACGTGGTAAAACCCCGTCTCTACTAAAAATACAAAAAATTAGCTGGGCATGGTGGCACGCACCTGTAGTCCCAGCTACTCAGGAGGCTAAGGCAGGAGAATCACTTGAACCTGGGAGGCAGCGGGTGCAATGAGCTGAGATCACACCACTGCACTCCAGCCTGGGCGACAGAGCAAGAGTCTGTCTCAAAAAATAAAGAAAGAAAGAAAGAAATAGGCTGGGCACGGTGGCTCACGCCTGTAATCCCAGCACTTTAGGAGGTCAAGTTGGGCAGATCACAAGGTCAGGAGTTCGAGACCAGTTTGGCCAACATAGTGAAACCCTGTCTCTACTAAAAATACAAAAAATTAGCCAGGCGTGGTAGTAGGTGCCTGTAATCCCAGCTACTCGGGAGGCTTCAAGGAGAATTGCTTGAACCTAGGAGGCAGAGGTTGCAGTGAGCCGAGATCACGCCACTGCACTCCAGCCTGGGCAACGGTGCAAGACTTTGTCCAGTAAATAAATAAATAAATAAAATCAGAGCAGCCCTGTCCAAGTAGACAAAATAATTTCTCCAGGTCCGTTCCAGCAGCACAAGCAGCAGAAAGAGCCCATGTATGTCCATGGTCCCGAGCGTTGGAGCAGGCCTGGGGGAGAACTGACCTTTGCCGCATGGGTCTTTCAGGCTTTTCCATGTACGTGTGCGCATATGTGTGTGTGTGTGCGTGTGTCAGGGGGTGGGGATAAGTGAACTCCCTCCTGTTGAATATTTAGAGTGCTGAGCTTATCGTTCAGGCCTGAGGCCACCCTGGACTGAATTCAGTCCTGAATAAAGAATGTGACAGGGAGAGTTGCCCCTCCGCTCACTCCTCCCCACGTCACCTGATGTCTGTGGGTTGACCAGGGTTTGGGGAATTTAGTATTGTGAGCTTTGCACTTGCCCAGGAACCTCTGGAACATATGGGTCATGGTCAGCTTCCCAGTGTGAGTTCGGTGGCCAGCACCCTTGGGGCACAGTAGTACCTCTGATCTTACTATAGGGAAGCAGGAGCATTCCCTCCTTCTCCAAAGAGGGACTCGTAATATTGGAGACCTCAGGGAATGAAAGGGCTTCTGTTAGGCAAGCTCAGGCCGAGAAGGCTTAGGATCACTTCACTCTCCCTTGAAAAAACTCTCTGGCAACTGTCTCTCTGGCATCCCTCCCTGCCCTAGCCCCTTTCTCCAGGAGATAGGAGGAATACTAGGCAGGAGATATGATTTTTCTGAGAGATTTGAGGCTGGGTGGGATTCCTTGGGAGTTAGAGTTAGCTGCCTTTGTTTTAAAGTCCCTGCCTACTACCACATCAGCATCAACTCTTTTAGAAAGTGGACTGTGGTCAGGTCACAGGAGACTGAGTACAAGGAGGAGAGGTGGTTCTGTCTCTACTTGGCCTCTTTATTCTCATACTCTCAGTTTTAGCAAACATTAGGTCTGCAGGTAAAGACAGGGCAGCCCTTTCCATGACCTTCTATAGCAGGAAAGAAAACCTATGAAAAAGTTGTCACATATATCAACTTAGCCCTCCCAAGCTGACCAACATCCAAGTACAGCTTTGGGTGGGAGATGGGTGTCATGAGAAGGTTAGCCCAGATCTGAACCATTCTGTATGCAGAGAAGAACCCAGGGTGCGCCTCACTCTGCCCGGGACTCCTCTGTCTACTGTGGGCTGGGAAGGTGGTGCTGCCAAGTGCAGGCCACACTGTCATTCCATGAGTGTCCTCTTCCCATGTTCTCATGTGAACAAAGAGCACTTGGGGTGCCTGGACCCAAACTTCCTAGAGAGAAAGGCAGTTACAAGAAGTCACTTTGGATTGGGGTGGTTGCAGGAAGGGCCACCATTGAGCAGAGAAGGGAAAGAGAGGGAGGAGAGGCAGGGGAATGACTGATGAAGGCCAAGCCGGGAGAGGGCAAGGGCAGCCAGGGCGCCGTGCAAGGGTCACCTGCGCGGAGTGGAGATTGTTCCCTCTCTGTCATCGGGTTTGGGTGGCTGTTTGGGCTCGTGCAGGCATGACAAAGGGTGATTTGGGAGTGGATGGTTGGGAATGGCAGGCCGACCTATGCCTCTACTGGATGGGGCCCCGCCGCCTGCCCACCTCTAGGCTGGGGCTGCAGGGCTGGACCCAACTGGTACTGCTTGGGCCAGCGTCTGGGTGGCATCTGGCCAGTGTTTGGCCTGGGGCTCCATGCCATCCCTGTGGTCTGAGCGATTCAGCGCGTGTCCCCTTCCCGTCTCATCCTCACACATCCTCAGCTGGGTGCATGCTGGGTGCTTCGAGACACGCAGACCATGAGAAGAAAATGAAACACACGCAGGGCTTCATTCTCTTCCTCTCCCATGGTTGTGTCTTCCGTTGCTGCGACCCGTCTGACCCAGTCCGTTATGCTTGGGGAGGTTCCTGATGACTAAAGCCCCATCTCCTCACCGGGCTGCCTGCCTTGCACGCGGGGGCCGTGTGTCCAGGCTGGGCACAGCCAAACCAACCGGACTCGGCTGTTTTACATTTCCCTCTCAGCTCCTCCCACATTGCCCCCGACTACCGTGGGTGCGACGGGCGCTGTGAGCAGTACCGATGCTACTGCCATTGCTGCCACCACCGAAGCCACAACAGCCCCCATCATCCCAACTGTCGCACCTACCACCATCGCCACCACCACCGTCGCCACAACTACAGCCACTGCCGCCACCACCACCACCACGGAGAGTCCTCCCACCACCACCTCCGGGACTAAGATACACGAATCCGGTACTGCGCATTGCCCATGCTCCCCATCCCCTCCTGGCCCACCTCCCCAGTGCTCTCCAGACGAACCCACAGGATCCCCCCGATAGGAGGTGGGGCCTGGGGTGGTGTTTTACCAGCACCTCCCTTTGTGTTTTCTTTGGAAACTCATCCATGACTAGATGCTCGGTCCAGTAGCCTGGAGGCCCAGATCTCCCCAACCTGGCCCCGACACACATACTCCTTGGTTGGCCCCCCACCATTCAGTACCCCCCATTTTAGCCTCAGATCCCTGTTCCTTACCAGAGGGCCAAGCTCCTTGGGCAGGGCCCCCAGGTTCCAGATGTCAGGACCTCTGGCTACATGTCAGGCAGTCAGCTCAGGGCCCAGCACTCCAGAAGGAAGACAGTGTGAGGAGGGAAAAGGACCGGGCACTGTACAACCGGCCTGCGGGGGTTTCCTGCCCTGGCCATGTCTCAGCCTAGAGGCAGAGCAGCAGGGAGTGGCTGTGCCAGGCAGCTCTGTTCCCAGAACCCCTGCTCCTCCCTTGTCTCTCTTCCCGAGAAGAACACTTACAGACTTTGGCAAAGTCAGAGCTTCCAGGAAACTGTATTATTGCCAAGGAGTCCCTCAATGCCCATTCACGTTCCCCATGGCCTCAAATGCAGGCATGGGGGGAAAATTACAGGCATTCTCAGGGCCCCTGGTAAGCATCGATCCCAGGGCCGGTACGCTGAGCCAGGAGACTGCAATGTTCCTGTATCATGCAGCCAGGCCAGGAAGCTCTGTTCTTCCAGTTCGGGGAGCCCCCCGGGGAATTCAGTGATAATTCCAGGCACTGAGATCAGTCTTATTACCTACAAGGGGAGGGTCTATAGCTTCCTGAGCCCACAGGCCAGCTATCAACTCAGCCTGAGGCGGCCAGCAGAGCTGGCAGGAAGCACCCAGAACTCTTCTGCAGCAGCTGTAGAATCGTAGGCCCCACTGGGCACCACCTTTGTCTCCTGAGCAAGTCCCTTCCCCTTCCATGGCCTCCCTTCTCCCACCCTGCTCTGCTTTTCTCGGCCTCCTGAATGAGGATGGTGGTTTAATGGACATGAGAGGATTTTGTTTTTAACTCAACGACATGGAGTTCAGGGAGCGGTCAGGGGAGACGAGATGCACAGCTGCCGTGGGCTCCTGAGACCCTGAAAGTGCTGGTGTGCTTCACGGGCACCCTCTAGAACTTAACAGACACTCTAGGAAAAAGTCGGCTGAGGAGGAACCTGCCGGGGTATTAGAAGCTACAACCAGCGGGTTGGTGATTGATGTTCTTTGTGGCCATGGTGAGGCATCTTTTTCATTAAAGTGGAGCTTTGTGTCCTACAAGGGCTATGAGTGCAGAGAAAAGATGAACCAAAAATGAAGGAAGGAAGTGGAGCTTGCTGCCCCGCGAAGACTTCCTTGCCTTCTGAAAGACCGGCCTCGTTGCCGCATAGGCCCAGCCCCCCTCCAGACTCTCACTTCCCAGGTTCTGTGTCTGAAACACTGCAGAGCACGTGGCCATGGCCTTGATCTTATCTAGACCTTGGGAACACCCCTCAAACATCCCCACCCCCCTAATTGCGGCAGAATGGCTGTCTAGGACTTTAACAATGAATTTTCACCTTTTTCGCGCCTTATATTTTGGGAAAAGATGTTTCATAAGTTCACTCTTAGGGTGAAATAGGCCTTTTTACTTGTCCTTAGCTTGTCTTTTCAGATTTCAAGGGAGATTCCCTAATTCTTGCATTCTAGGAGTGAGCGAGACAACCCATGCTCCCCTTCCTGACCCTTTCCATGTTTCTAAGGTGTTGCTATCTCACGTTCTTGGTCTGTCTCTTTGAACTTTCGAGTGCTTTTGTGTCATCATCCTGATCTCTCTGTGGCAATGCCTTCCTCCAACTCCCACCTCTAAATCATCTTGGCTTCCCATTGCCTTTTCTAAAAGAATCCCTATCTTCATCACCCTTAAGACAGCCAGATTTGAGTCAATTTCGTATTGGTGGCCAAACTGTTTAAACACAAACTCTCTAGCTATTTACAGAGCTCAGAGCTGAGGAGGAAGGAACTCAAGTCCCCAAATCATGACTAATCATAATTCATTCTCACTAGCAAGAGCCATGAAATTGTAAGGAGCTGGGATTTGGGATGGCTTCAAGTAACCAGGACAATTGAAGCATCTGGCAGACAGGCAAAGAAGCCTACGTTCTGCCCTCCCCACGTTGCCATCAATGGAATCACTTCCTTGGCTCCGCACTTAATACAAATCATATTCACCTGGGGCAACCAATGCCTGACAAGGTTGTAGTGCAGAAGGCACCTCTTTGAAGTGAAAACCAGGAGATCTTTTATCACTTCCCCAGCCCTGCAGGCTCAATCACATGTCAAATAGATAATGAATAAATGCATCACCAATGTACTCTATTCATTTATTTTTGAAAGTGAGGTGGTGACAGTACCCCCTTGCATGCTAATAAAATATACAGAAACCACACCTGTGAAGTCTTTGAAATACAAGCTTCATGCTAGTACTCCACTATTAAATCTTTGCTGGAAAATGGGGTAACCAGACTGCTGGGACTCTTGAAAAATGATTACGTTTGAAGATTAGTGCCATTCTCCTGTACACACGCTACGGTTTCAGACAGCACCATGGCTTTGATAACGTGGCTCCCAGCTCATAGGAGCTTGATAATTAATGTCCTCTATGTTGCCTAGAGATCAGGCGTGAAAATCTTGGTGGTGCTGAAAAGCTGACAGAACAAGATTCTTCTGATATCTGGATCACTGAGGGCTGGTTGTCAAGGAGTTATCTTCTCTTGGTCCCACCCAGTCCCCAAGTGGGAGAGGAAGGGTTCATGTGGTCTTTGCTTTGGGCCCCTGAGATTCTAGGCTTTAGACAATCTGAGGCTGTTAGACACATCAGCCAGGCTCTCTCTGACCAAGATCAGCCCAAGACCAGCCTCACCTGTCTGGATCACCATTCTATTCCAGCTTCAAAAGCCCATCCTTCCTGCAAATCTCATCAAGACTCTTGGTTTTTAAAGATAACCCTCTCCTTCCTGCAGCACTTCCATGCTTGAAGGGGAAGGGGCTGACACACATCTCCTCTGTGGAGCCTCCTCCTCCTGGCCACACGGCCTTACATGACAAGGGATCTGAAAAGGGAATAAGTCCAGGTTAGAGCCTTAAATGGCACAGATCAAAACCCACTCTTTCTACAAAAGTCAGCCAGGCGTGGTGGCGGGCGCTTGTAATCTCAGCTACTCGGGAGGCTGAGACAGGAGAATCTTTGATCTTGGGAGGTGGAGGTTGCAGTGAGCTGAGATTGCACCACTGCACTCCAGCTTGGGCAACAGAACAAGAGTTGTCTCAAAAAAAAAAAGAAAAAAAAAACCACTCCTTCATTCCTAACCCTACCTGTGTGGACACGTAGACAGTTTCCAGCTCTTCCTCAGTCCTCCCAACTGCACCTGCTTGTCCCTGGACAGCGACCTCTGGCCTGGCCACCAAGGCTGCAGCTTGGAGCTCTGTCAGGACCTGTGCACAGCCATTTCTGACTCTCCCCTTTCCTAGATGATCGTGTGTACGTGTGTGCGTGCGCGAGCGTGGGCATGTGCGTGCATGCACACGCTTGTGTGCATGTGTGTATGTATGTGTCTCCATGTCTCTGGTGCCACTCCCCCCTCATCACTAACTCCTCTTCTAACCCGTCCACCAGCCCCCGATGAGCAGTCCATATGGAACGTCACGGTGCTCCCCAACAGTAAATGGGCCAACATCACCTGGAAGCACAATTTCGGGCCCGGAACTGACTTTGTGGTTGAGTACATTGACAGTAAGCATTGCTGTGCGGGGTGGTGGTGGCGGCAGCGGCGGCGGCAGCAGCGGCGGGTAGTGGTAGATGCCATTAAAGAGATCCTGTAAACTCCCTCAGGCTCCGAGAGGCCTTTTAGCCTGGCTTAATTGTGGCTTAATGAAATCGATATGCACTCAGGTGGCAGTGACGTGGGAGGAGCAGGCTCAAGGAGAAGGAAAGGGGCTTCTCAAGCCATTAGTGGAGGTCTAGGGTTGCATGTCTGTGGAGGACCTGTGTAAAGAGCCCTTCATTCATTTCCTGCCCAGGATGAGGGCTCTGAGTAGCCCCCAAATGAGCCAAATCTCTCCTCTGCATTGATCTCCTTAACTCAGGCTCCACTAGACAAGCTGGGCCAGTTCACAGACCTGGGCTACAACCCTGCTTTGCTCCCAGAGCAATGCCAGTGGGCTCCAGTCAGAGCCACAGACCAGAGCCATTTGTCCCAGCTGATGGCTTGAGCTGAGCTGCTCACCCTTTACTGGAGCTTGGAACCAAGGGTACAGATTCATTGGACTGCAGAGTGTGGCCTCTGAGTGAAGGTCCCTGTTCCTATGGGGCAAACCCACCATCTTGGCCTCTTTAGTATGTGCTCTAAGCAATTAAGGCAACTAGCCCCGTCAGCAAATCCACCTGTCCCAGCCTGCCCAAAGACCTCTCAGGAGGGAGCAAAGCTGACTTAGTCCTCCCTGGTTGGGGGAGGAGTTCCTCCATTCTGGACTACACAGTTTGGTCCATACTTTTTCAGCTTCCCACCACCCCCATTCACCCTTCAGCCTACATGCAAAGGCACACACTTTTCCTGATGTGGGATTTCACCACATGGTGGGAAATGAGAGGTGAAACTAAGAGTGAGAGCCAAGAGGCAGAGTCCCAGCTCATCTCCAGTTTCTCTGAGGGATGCTAACTGGCTCTCTGGCCCTCACCAGCCAGATCCATGTGAAAAGTTAATCTCTTCCAGGGCAACAGAGCGTCTGCCGACAAGATGAGAGTTTAAGGAAGTAGGTCATGATATGTCTAGTGTGAAGAATGGTGAGGAAAGAGAACTTCAGGAGAAGGGTGTCCCCAGCTGAAGGGTCATTTAAAAGTCAGTATTGCATGGACAGGCATGGGGAAGCTGCCTGGAACCCTCCCAGTCTGTACCGCAGACTGCACCAGCTGTTCCCTGGTCCCTTCCCCCACACTTTTTCCCTTTGACAGGTGACCAGGACCTAAGCACTGGCTCTCCAGCTCCTGGTGCCTGGCTCTAGGCTGACTGAGGTTTCTGTTCCCCAGGCAACCATACGAAAAAAACTGTCCCCGTTAAGGCCCAGACTCAGCCTATACAGCTGACAGACCTCTATCCCGGGATGACATACACGTTGCGGGTTTATTCCCGGGACAACGAGGGCATCAGCAGTACCGTCATCACCTTTATGACCAGTACAGGTGAGAGGGGACCTGGCCTGGCCATCCCCTGCGAGCATGGGGCATTTCATTCTCATCCTCAGCTTCCTGCTTGCCTCTCTCCTCGGAAAGAAGACTGGTCCCCACCCCATTTCCCACCTTGCATGGCGTGTCTCCGCTCTTATTATGCATCAGCTGAAGGCTCCCAAGAAGCCAAGGGGAACCCCATGTGCATGCTTAGCGGAGAGGAAACAGTTCTGTTTCTGGCCCTGTGGGGATCCAAAGGAAACAAAGGATCGTTTAATGACAACAGAGAACACTTGGCCCCCTGCTCTGCCTGGTGTGTGTGCACACTTGGTCACTGTCCATGGGTCTGGGGGCTGCAAGAGCAGTACAGCCCGGCCTGTGTGCAGGATCCCTTCACGCAGGGTCAGGGGATAGGGCTGTCGCAGGGCCTTGATCTAGAAATCGCCCTGGGAGATCAGTGCCTGTGTTACTCCCTTGCCACCATTATGTGTTGTTCAAAATTTCAAAGTGACACAACTTGTTTGGGGCTTTGTTTTTGTCCCGTTTGCCTCGTCCTAAACGGAGGTGACTTTTTGTCATGCGAGGAGAGGGGAAGAAGCTCTCCAGGACTGAACAGTTCTGGCTCTATAGTGGCTTCAGCTGTGGATGAAGAAACATCTTCCTTGTGCCAAATGAACAGGCCAGCTGGGACTCAGCAAAGCGTACAGGGTTCAGCAGTCTCTGCTGGTAGGGGTGGCTGGCAGTCCGGATACTTACAAGGCACTGGCTGGTCTGAGTGTGTGTACCTTTAAACTCAGCCGAGCAGGCTGCCAAGTGGCCTGTATGCTAAGCCCCGGAGCTAATGGTAAGGGTGTGGAAAGAGATTAAGAGAGAAAGGGATCATACCTTGCCCCCAGGGGATATCCTAATCAGATGCAGGTCATTAAATACACAGGATACGGGAGGGGAGAAAACACACAGTGATTTATATGAACTTCTGAATGTTGACTTAAATATTCATTACTCCTCCTGCACCTGGCCCTGCGAGGCTGATCCTGGTAGCTTGCATCTTGGGAGTCCCTGCCCATCTGTGTCCACGTCTCACCCCACCCCCTCTCGCCTAGTCTGTCCTGGACCAGCATCTTGTCTTCCTCCCTGTGTCTCCCCCAGTCCTGCGCATTTGCATGCCATCAATTCTCAGAGCGTCTGAGAGTCGGGCTCGCTGATTGAGGCTAGCCAGGCCAACTCAGGCAGGATGTCTGAGTGAGTGGCTAGGCTGTCCTGTCACAAGGGGAGCCAGGCCAGGTAGCTGGACAGTGGACCGAGCAGAGCAGGTGGCTGGACTCTGTCTAGCCCAGACGAGGTCCCAAGCTGTTGCTCACTGGTATGTGCATTGGATTTTGCTTCATTACATACTTGAGTCCAGCACAGCGGCAAAAAGCAAAGATGATATTTGAGAATAGAGTTCCATCCTAGGGAAGACTGCCAAAACCAGGGCAGCCTGCTTTCAGAGTCTGACTTCTCCAGGTGCTAAGCCCTAGGGCTGTGGGTGAGGGCTCAGGCTAGAGAGCCAGAGAAAATGGACCAGTCCCTGCCCTCGAAGGGTGTCCTAATCTGATTTGGGGTATTAGGCACCCGATGGAAAAACAATTGATACTATGTATGCTTCTGAACCTAAAGACTCATTTCTCTTTTCCTGCTTGATGGAAAAGCTCATCCTGATAACTTGCTTTCCAGTGATGAAGGACTCAGCCCTGATGAGTCTTCCCTGATCCCTCCCAGCGAGAGCTGGAGTGGGCAGGTTAACCAGCCCAGCTCTGAGTACATAGTGTCCAGTTCTCTCACAGGCTGGCTGGAAATTACTGTCTGCAAACCACATAGGGAAAAGAAAATATTTTCACTTTCTGAAGTCTGTGAGCATGTGTCCATATCCTTCAAAAATACACACTCTCTTTCCTGTGGGTGGACTCCCGAGCCAGGTCCATGCAACCTCAGGGTCCTGTGTTTCACCAAAGCAAGAACTCATGAGCATCTCTGTGCCCTGACCACTGGTCATTTAGACAACCACAGGCTGTCGCTTTAGTCTGCAGACTTGAACGCGCTACAGCGTTCAGGAAGGAAATGGAAGGAAACCCCTGGGAAGGCTGACAGCCTCTCTGATCCTCACCAGAAAAGTCCCAATGGGAAGTTAATCACATCCTTGAAGTGTTTGAAGCCAAAGAGACCTGAGGGGCTACAAACACATAACCCTGGACTCCAAGAGGCCTGCCAGCCCTTCTGTGCTAGGTAGGGGCAGGACAGGGTAAGGCAGGAGGATGCTGGATGCTGAGAGGGGGCCAGCAGTCAGATAGCAGCCTGCCTCAGACCTCAGGAGAGCAGGGAGCAGGGCCTCAGGGGACCTGAATGCAGTCAGCATTTCTGTGTTTGGGAGAAGCATCTCCTCGGTAGACCTAGGATGGCACAAGGTGTGGAGAGGTGTCAAAAGGTTCTTAAGTAAGAACAGCCAAGCCAAATTGTATTTGGGGAAAATCCATCCCTATGATATTTATTAACCTATCCCTATTTCTAGAACACAGTTTTCTGCAGACTTTGAGTGACTGGCCTTTCTTCCCTGGCCAAACCCAATTCCTACCAATTAGAATTAGGAGTCATGAGAGCTGTCAGCTTTGCAGGTGTATTGCCTGTTTCTGAGTGGGTGTTGCAGGGTGAGGTGTGGAAGGCACACAGAGCATGATTTCTAGTCCCGTGTAAGAGGTGTGTGGGCCAAGAGGATGCTGTGCTGGCTCCTGTCAGTTATAACTGAGGGTGGCGAGTGCAAATGCACCCTGGTCTTTGCACATTGATGTTACTGGATCCATTAGGAATCTTGAAACAAGTTTAATAGTCCCACTGAGTGTGGCGTTGACAGTCGAAGATAATTGCTCTGGGGCCTTGCTAAAATGCCTTCCTCTCAGAGGCCAATTCTTGGGGTCCCATTGTAAATGTGATCATTATCTCCTAAATTTCTCTTGGTCCTTGAAAAACTAAATCGCTTTGATGGAATGTGATTGAGCCCCGCTTACCCCAGATCCCGCTTGGTTTTGAACAGGCTTCTGTGTCCAGACTTCACAGGAAATTCTTTGACCTTTTCAGTAAGGACAGGAGGTAACATTTGAACTTCACCTGGTACGTCAGGAATGAAAAGCCACATTTGCTTCCTAATGGCCCATGTGGCCCCTTTCCCCTGGAATGATGGCTTTCTTTCCCAAGAGGAAGGAAGTCTTGTGGAGGCAGCCGTCAGGGCGCATCAGAACAAGCACCAGGAAGATGGGGTGCAACTAGGTCATTGACTAGGTGGTTGCAGACACACAAACCAACCTCCTTGCAAAAGGTGGGTACAACTCTCCAGACACATGCTGAAGTAACTCCTTCACCCCAGTGCCAGGTGCAGCACATGGGCAAGGCCGCATCCATATGACCCTGGCTGACATCGGGGGAACCTAAATCCGTATGCCAGGTTAACTGTATTATAGGAAGATTAAGTTGACCCATTAATCAATAAGTAGTCGCTGAGTACTTGTTCTGTGACCAGCATTGTGCCAAGTACTAGGACGCCAAAAAGATCCCCTGTCCTCAAGACTTTAATAGTGTAATTGGAAACCCAGGATGGGGCCCAGGAAATGGAACAATTAACTGTTCCACTGCACGGAGTGGCTGGGGGTGAAATCGGAGTTCAGAGGCGGTGTGAGTTAGAGCAAGGGGAGAGTCCGGGAGGAGGGGTAGAGTGTGCAAAGGCGGTAGTGAGCTAGGAGGGCAACAGCCTGGGCTTTCTTGGGCAGGAAGGGCAGGATGCTCGGAAAGGAGACTGGAGCGCCCAGAAGGTGAGGCTTGGGAGCTCAGCCCCCCCAGGTGGGGGTTGGGGAGAGGGGCTTTGTTTAAGCTGGGAAGGTTCGAAGACCTCTCTGGGGAGGTGCCAGTTGCCAAGGCAGCCATGAGAAGAAGGAGCAGCAGAAGCAAAGGCGCTGCAGTAGGAATGAGGGCGGCCAGCGTGGCTGGAGCGTAGAGCGTGAGGAAACAGTGGCGGGAGTTAGGACTGGAGAGATGGCCAGAGCCTGCTCTGATGGAGCTGACAGGTCAGGATAAGGAATGAAGAGTTCTCTTTAATCACAATAAGAAGCTTTGGAGAGTGAAAGCAAGGAAGTGATTCAATCCTGCATGGGGGTCGGAAAGGATCACTGTGACACTGTGGCGGGGGCCTGCTGGGAGCAGGAGTGGAAGCAGCCTGCATAGGCCATGATACTCACAAGCGTGTTCTCACAGGGGTCGACTGCTTTTCAGCCCAGGGCTGCCCTGGGCAGCCAGAATGCAGAGGGCACTTGTTCATCAGTCCTAACCCCGTATGGAGAACTTTCTTGGTGCAGTGCCCTTGGCTGGGCACTGGGAAGACTGTAAAAACAGTTTCTGCCCCCAAGAGGAGCAAAGGGTGGGCTCGCCCTTGCCCCCAGATAACTGCCTCACTAATGGCCTGTGCTGAAGACCTGGGGGCGCACGTGCTGTGGCCCTCATGCTGTTCCCTATGCTCCTGTTGTGTGCCTCTCCCCAGGTGTCTCCAGGCTGGCTGGCTCCAGGGCTACTTTGTGTGTGTTCAGTTCCTTTGATCCTTCCCTTCTGTCACAGAGTCTGGAGTTCTGCATTTCAGGAGGGGTCGCTTTTGTTCAACTCCAGTCAGTAGAAAGAATAAGGGCATGTTGGTACTGACCACACCCTCCTCCCAAACTCAAACCCAGCCATTGGGCCATCAAGAACACCCTCACATGACTCCCGAGCACCTGTTCTTCAGGCCCTCCTGCAGGCCTTTCAAATCACAAAGGGATCTGCCCCCTTTGAAACAGGTCTCCACATATGCTGGGCATGGACAGAGAGGGATTCACTGTCACTGGCTGGAGGGGTCACATCGGCTTGTCACAGACCAGCAGGGGTCACCCTGTGTGGAGGAGTCTGGAAGTGGCATGGACTGGAGCAGAAGGCACAGCCCCAGCCCCTGCCCCACATGGCTGCTGACCTGGCCAGGGCTACCCACATCAGGATTGCCTTTGCTGTCAGGAAGCGCATGATCTACTAGAGAGATGTGAAAAGACAGGGCATCCTGGGCCTCCACTTGGTCCAGTCCCCACCCTTAGGAAGCGTGGATGGCTCTGGAGCCATGCTCTGGGCAGGGATGCTGCTCTGCGTCTGCACAGCCTGCAACGCTGTTCTCAGCAAGTTTTTTGCAACATTTCTTGATAAGTAGCATCCGGCCCCTATTTCTCACCTGGGGCTCATCCATGGGGAATCATACTTCCCTGGCCAATCTGTGGCCGTCCCTCAGTCCCCACTAGGCTGTGACCAGCCCTCTGGTTTGCAAGAATGCCATGCCTCGTCCCTAGGACACTTCCCCCTTCCTAAAGGACCTGTTCAGCCTTCTGCTTCTTATTTGCTCCTTGTACCCCTTTCCTTTGCTTCTTTTCTGATCTTTTGACCTTGGCTCTTTAATTATTTTCTTTTTGTCCTTTAGCGGGGTAGTTTGGGCCAGAGGGCTGCTAGGTGGTAGCGTTAGGCTCCAGGAGAAACATCCACGTGAAATAGCTGAAGTTCTTCCCTCCATCTCCCTCCTCACCATCTCCCCCATGAAATCATTCACGGGTTTGCTTCTGGCCCTCCCCGCCAGCTTACACCAACAACCAAGCGGACATCGCCACCCAGGGCTGGTTCATTGGGCTCATGTGTGCCATCGCCCTCCTGGTGCTGATCCTGCTCATCGTCTGTTTCATCAAGAGGAGTCGTGGCGGCAAGTACCCAGGTGAGATGTGTGAGAGGCGTGGGCTTACAGGGCAGGGCGCTTTCCTGCGAGTCTCCAGGTCTCCAGCCAGATCCGGGCACTGTGTTCTCTCAGTGAAGCCAGCCCTTGCCAAGCTTGGAAATACAGTCCTCTTGCCTGTGCTGTGCATCTTCGAGCTGCCAACAAGCACTTGAGTTAATTAAGTTCGCCTGAGGTGGGCGGATGGCACAGTCCAGGCAGCCTCAGAGAGGGGATGGAAGGAACCCTGGCTCCTATTAAGAATGACCTTTCCTCCCCTTGATTCACCACCCATCTGCTCTGTAAATTGGCTTTTTTTCAGCCTGAATCTCATTAGGATCCTGTGTCCTGGGGAAGGAGAAAGGAAGAAAGGCATTTTCTCTAACCATGTCCCAGAGAATGGGGAGTGGAGGGGTCTAGGGAGAAGCAGCACCCCCATGAGAGACTTCCAGAGGTGGGCACTCAGCAGGACGACGGTGTAACCACCGATATCACTAGCAAGGGTCAGAAGCTCCAACGCAAGGAGCAGGGAGACGCTGAGGGTGGATGGCATTGGTAGGGACCCACATGGCCTTAAAGAGCTTTGGGCTTCCCTATAGTCCCAAGGAGGCCTCAAGATCCTTCAGCCCCTGGCCGGGAACAGTGACTCACACCTGTAATCCCAGCACTTTGGGATGTCAAGACAAGTAGATCACTTAAGGTCAGGAGTTTGAGACCAGCCTGGCCAACACGGCGAAACTCCGTCTCTACTAAATATTTGAAAATCAACTGGGCGTGGTGACAGGTGTCTGAGGTCCTAGCTATTCAAGAGGCTGAGGTGGGAGGATCACCTGAGCCTGGGGAGGTCAAGGCTACATGAGCTGTGCTCGTGCCACTGCACTCTAGCCTGGGTGACAGAGTGAGACCCTATCTCACATAAATAAAATTTTTAAAAAGAGCCTCCAGATGGTGGCTCATGCCTATAATCCCAGCATTTTGGGAGGCTGAGGCGGGTGGATCACTTGAGGTCAGGAGTTCGAGACCAGCCTGGCCAACATGGTGAAACCTCATCTCTACCAAAAATATAAAAAATTAGCTGGGCGTGGTGGCAGGCACCTGTAATCCCAGCTACTTGGGAGGCTGAGGCAGGAGAATCGCTTGAACTGGGAGACAGAGGTTGCAGTGAGCCAAGATTGCACCATTGCACTCCAGCCTGAGTGACAGAGTGAGACTGTCTCAAAAAAAATAAAAATAAAAAAAGATCCTCTAGCCCAGACAGACCAAGGTCAAGGACAAGGACCTCTTGCATTCTTGTTTCTGAAAATATTGATTGTTTTTCACACAGGGGCAAGAGAGCCATCTGTCTGTGATGGGGTGGGTAGGGTGACAGGAGACAGGATAATGGATGACCCTGAAAGCAAAAATCTGGCTGGACTGCAGGAAGAAATTTCTCCCTCCCCAGAAAGCCCCATCACCAAACACACCCGTGCTCCCCAAATGCTTCCTTCTCTCCATCTCTTAGAACAGGTCCTCCCCCAGGACCCCCCTAAAACTCAACACAAAGGAAACAGAAGAGAAAGGAGACTCAATTCTTTTTTATTCCCCATGCTCAAGTACCCACAGACTAGGACTCTGAACAGCTGTGCCTTGACTTGAGTGAGGGAGGGCAGGAAATGACTGTCCCTTACTGGTGAGCGATGCTTTCTTCCAATCTCTCCTGCTGTGTTGGGCTTGTCTGGTTCTGTAGGAGACAAAGCCTGAGTTAGTGAAAAGGCTGCCTCCTCCATCTGATGGTAAGACTTGGGTGGACTAAGTTCACGCCTGTTCCAGGTGGAAGTAGAATACCGGAAGAACCCAGCAAATCAGCTCTGAGCTATCCTTTGCCCTTTCAGAAAGTGTCTCATTCCAAAAAGTGTTTCAAAACTACCTCTTGCCCTCCAGCTGCAGGGTAAGCCCCTCTTCCCTTAATAAGATAAGTGAACCAGCAGCCACAAGCCCCGGGCGTCAGCCTTCCCTCCAGTCTTCATTCAGTCACTAATTAGTTACGTTATGTGTTCTTCGCCTCTCAGGTGATCAGTTTCCCATACCCAACACGGGGATGATTATCCGCCTTGTATCTCAAGAAGGATACATAGGCCAGGCACGGTGGCTCACGCCTGTAGTCCCAGCACTTTGGGAGGCCAAAGCGGGGAGATTACTTGAGGTCAGGAGTTCAATACCAGCCTGGCCAACATGGTAAAACCTGGTCTCTACTAAAAATACAAAAATTACCTGGGCATGGTGGCTGGTGCCTGTAATCCCAGCTATTTGGGAGGCTGAGGCATGAGAAGCCCTTGAACCCAGGAGGCAGAGGTCACAGTGAGCCAAGATTGCACCGCTGCAAAAAAAAAAAAAAAAAAAGGATACATAAAGAAGCTTTCATGTAAGCACCTGCTGTGTGTCCGCCTCTGTGCTGTGCACTAGGGATACCAGAGGTAAAATGATCTCTCCTCAAGGACACTGCAGATGACATAGAAAGAATGAGCACAGCACAAGACAGGGCCTTGGCTGAATGCTCCCACGTTACAGAGGAGGTGGAGGAAAGGGGGCACGCCAACAAGGGGGGTCACAGAGAAGAGACACTTTCCATCCCATTGGTGTGTACGGCACACAGACCTCCAGCCTGGAGGAAAGAACCAGCCTTCTGTGATGGGCATGAGAAATGTGCACAAACAGTTACACCACAGAGCAGAACAAGAAAGGTGCAAAAAGTGGCTTGTTTATCTTTGGCAAAGGAAGTGATCACATGTGTATTGTCTTTTGGGGAGACTTCATGGAGATTTGGTTGGGGGAGCTTGGTGGGAGGAGATTTCTGTTGTTAGCAGAGATGTAAAAGACCCCTGGGGCTGAGAAGGAGGTGGCAGAATCAACTTGGCAACTGATTGAGTACAGGAAGCAAAAACAAGGGAGGTGTCTATGGCGCCTTGTTAAAAAAGAATGCCAGTGAGCCCAGGGCGGTGCCTTCTGGCCCTGCATTCAGGGAGCCCTGGAGAGCAAGAGCGTGTACTTAATCATTGTGTCTGTGTCTTTGCTTCTCTTCTTGACCAAGTACGAGAAAAGAAGGATGTTCCCCTTGGCCCTGAAGATCCCAAGGAAGAGGATGGCTCGTTTGACTATAGGTGCGTGATCTCCCTCCTCCTCTCTGGAGCAGGCTGTCCTCACCATCCCTGAGGCACCACCCTCACCGACGAGCAGCTCCGCTTGGCTGAAAGGCCATGAGTAGTTGTCCTTGCCCATTGAGCTGTCACTCTGCCTCTCTGGCGGCACCGTGGTGGAGAGCACGTGCTGCTGAGTTTACTCAGAGAGGCTTCTCATCCTGAGAGTGCCAGACAAGGCTGCCCCCCAGGAGACACTGCCCAACGCATGCACGCGTTTGTTTGATGAACGGCATTTCTTTCAGTCAACTGCACAGCTCAAACACATCAAGCTCCCTGTTTATGTCTTTCCACCTTTTCACTCTCACCACGAGCCCCAGGACCCTCTTGCTGTGAGATAAGCTCAGCTCTCAGGCTGATTCTCTGCCCACACTCCACCCCTAACCCTGAAGATAATGACCCTGGGAGGCTGTGCTGTCTTAAAGCCTCAATGAGTGAAGGTGGGGTGATTCCAGGTCATTTCTCCATGAACTTGGCGCTATCTTTGGGCTCGAGATCAGAATGGGCCTGGGAAAGGTATCTGGTCCAGTGTCCTATGCCCCGATAAGAGGACTGAGGCCCAGATCAGGAAGCGAGTTGTCTAAGACTTTTCCACGCTTACCAACCAATGAGTTAGTGCCAGAGCTGGGAAAGCCTGGGGCCGCACTGTTCTATACTTCTATACCCGTGCTCCCTGTCCTTCCTGGATGCGTCTTCGTATCTAGGCTTAACAATGCTGTTGTCTGTCCATGGTGATAGTATGTTCTGAGCTGAGGGAAGATGCAGGGTGGGCTGTGGCGTGTCATTCCCAGACCAAGTGCTATGGGAGAGAATGTCTGATGAGAGTTCTCCCTCCACACGCCACCCAGTTACTGCCTGGGCCTAGATCCCCATGTCCTCTGCTGCAGTCTCCTTTTCCTGTCCTGGGCCTCTGCCACTCTGCCCATCAGCCTGGCAGGCATAATCAGATCAATGGGTGGCAGAGCCACTGCCCCCACAGGAGCCTGCCTGGCAGCTCATGGGCCATGACCGTCCATCCAGTCCCGACATCCCCATGAGCCTCCCAAAAGGGCAGGCACAAGAGGCCCCTTCCCACCTTCCCTGGCAGACCCCGGCTTCCCCATGGGCTGAGACTTCCCTGGCTTTTTGTTCCAAAAGCCACAGGAATTCTCCCCCCGACTCAGTGCAGCCAGAGAGGAGGGGCATGGACCTCCCCCAATACCAGGCTGGGCAACCTGCCCTGCAAGGAGCTGCTTCCTCGTGCACCTCTCCTGCCCCAGACACCAAAGCTGTCGGGCAAAAACCCCTGCCTCCTCCTCACAGCTACTGATGCTGGGTCTTCGTGCACAGGAGCGTGCCTTGGCTGCACCGCCACACGTACACAGTCTTCTGCTCGGGCTCTAGAAGGTCTGCAGCGTCCATCCTAGAGCCCTCCCTTGGATGAGTCTAAGAGCCCTAACCTGGGAAAAGACTCAGATTCATACATCAAAGGAAGAGCTAAGTTTCTAGTGGGGATAGGCCTGGGGCGAGGAGTGTGGTTCTTCTCACTCCAGGTCGTGGCTGAGTGGCTGACCACTTTTCCCGTGGGGTCCCCTCTGTTTTTCTCCCCTATGTCTGTCCACCTGGACCTTGAAGGTATCTCTGAAGCTAGGCCAACAGGTGGCCAGACCAGGACCACCCCTAATCACTCTGGTCTCTTTCAAGCTTCCCTTAGGAGAGGTCTGTTATTTTCAGACCTAGATCCCCTATTCCCTCCACAGCCTGGCAAACTACAGACCTCTCCCCTGCCCCTCCCGCTGGCTGGGCTGTCGCTCTCCAGTGGTTGCACGTAGCTTAGCTGCCTGGACCCAGGGGAAGAATTCCCACATAGCACAGTCCTCATGCCCCTGCACATGGCGTAGAGGGCCCAGGGAAGGGGTGCATGCCAACAAGACCTGCAAGTATGGTGAGGAGCCTGGCAGTTCCCCTCCTCCAGTTGGCAAACAGTGACTTCCACTTCCTGCACAGACAGCACAGCCCCAGAAAGCTGCCTCTCTCACACTGTCTCTCAGTGCACGGCTGCCCCATGAATACAGTTAGGCTGGACTCATGGGGCAGCTCTGGCAGGGTGGGCTAATTGCTTTCCGTCTTCTAACACAGCCCCAGCCCTGGATCGCTGCCCTCCCGACAGCTGTCTTTGCCTGGCACTGCTATTAGAAGTGAGAAGGCACTGCCCGCTGTAATGGCAACTCAGCTGGTTGTCTTCCTCATGTCCAGGAAGGACTGGGGGTGGGTAGGGAGCTGGGGGTAAGGGAGGGTATGGTGTGCATCTGCTCAGATCACCTGGCACTGCTGTGGTCCCACCCGCTGAGACCCAGACTCCCACTGCTCATCCACAGTTGCCTCCTGCCCAGGAACCAGGCTCACCTCTGAAGTGTAGCCAGCAGCACCTGGTCCCTGCTCTGAGCCTTTCCAGCCAAGGGAAGGGACATGGTGCCTGAGCAGACGCTGGCTCAGGGAGCAGCTCTGTGCCTCCAGCTGTTCCCAGCAGGCGCATGCCACTTTATCCAGAAGCCTCCCAGCCCTCCCTGCACAAGGGGAGCTTAAGGCCAGGGCCTGTGGGCCTCAGAAGGGCTGGGCAGGGTCCTCCGAGCCTTGCCATCTTCTCAGGTTTGCTGGCGTCCCCTGCCTCCCTGTGTGCCCCCTGCCCCACACCACTCTCACTCACCTGTACTTGCTAAGCCCAAAGCAATTGCATCTTTTTATAGATCAACCAGATAGCTCAGCAAAATACACCAAGACAGGGAAGCAGAGAGGCGGGGGAGAGGCTTTTCCCTTTAAAAGCCTTTCTTTCTGTCAAGGAGAGAGTGTTTCCCTACAGAGTCACAGGTCTTGGGAGATCAAAGCTGGGCCAGCCCCTCTTGATGGACAGACTGAGGCCCAGGTCACAAAACCACACAGTGATACACTCAGGACTAGAGCCATCCCATATGGCCTCACAAGCAGTGGCTCTGTCTCACCATGGGGTGGCCATCCTCTGTCCACTCCCACCACAGACAGAGACCCAGTCTCATGGAAAGGACCTGGACCAGGAGCCCAAAAAGCATGGGTTCCAGTCCCTGCCCTGCCCTGACCTGCAGCCTCCCCTTAGGGAAGGTGCTTGTCCTCTCTAGGCCTCCATTTCCCTTCTGTAGAGCTGGCTGGACAGGGGAGGGTGAAGGGGGGCTGGACTGGGTGGTCTCTTGGGTCCCATCCTCTCTGAGCTGTGTAGGGGATGTGTTGGCAGGAGGCAGCTGCCCCGTCCCACCCCACCTGAGATTCTCTGTCTCTCTGGCCAGTGATGAGGACAACAAGCCCCTCCAGGGCAGCCAGACGTCTCTGGACGGCACCATCAAGCAGCAGGAGAGTGACGACAGTCTGGTGGACTATGGCGAGGGTGGCGAAGGTCAGTTCAATGAAGACGGCTCCTTCATCGGCCAGTACACGGTCAAAAAGGACAAGGACGAAACAGAGGGCAACGAAAGCTCAGAGGCCACGTCACCCGTCAATGCCATCTACTCTCTGGCGTAACAGAGCCCACCCAGGCACAGCCACCACTTTGCAAGTGGGAGGAGGGGAGAGGGGGAGATGAAGCCACGGCAGACCTACCACAAAGCCACCACCACCTTCAGGGACAAGGGTACGATATGGGGGTCTGCCAAGCTGTGAGGACCAGTAACCACCAAGCCACCCACAAGCCCCCTCCCAATGATCCCCCCTTCAGCCCCGGGTGCCACCAGTGTGGGGGAGCTGGAGCCGTGGCTGAGCTCAGCTGGAGGGAGCCTGGTCCCTCTCCCCGTCTCACAGCCACCCCGAGCGTTCCACCACTGCCCGCCGTGGCCTCGGCGCACGCTCCCCGTTTCTGTTGGTCACGGGACTTCTCATTGTCTTAATTTCGCTTTGTGCATCCTTCCCCTCCCCAGACCCAATGTCTCAGATTTTTTTTTTTTTCCTTTTGAAAAAGTGTCCCTGGAAAAGAAAGAATAAGTGGATTCTGCCCCAGGAGACTGCAAAGTTAGGCAAAAAGGATTGATCCATACCAGAACACGTAGACAGGCTGTAGTATTCTAACCAACCTCTGGGCCAATGCGTTTCCGAAGGATGCCTTTCTCGCCATATGCCTCCCCCGGCCCCCAACCCCTCTGCCTTGGCCTTGTCAGTTGCTGAGCTGGGCTTGGCTTCTTTCTGGAAAATGACAGTATTTTTGGCAGGGAGAAGGTGTGCAGGCCTCTTTGCTGCTCTCTGGTTCGGCTGGGAGGTGCGTTTACCTCTTGCTCCTCCTTCCCCACCCCCCTTCTCTGGAGTATCTAAGATGTGAACTGAAGGAGTTTGAGGAACAGGAGTGGGCACTGATAGAAAGGACTTTGACGCCAGTGACTGTGCACCTCAAGCAGAAGAAAATCAGGTGTCTGGTCTCGGGGGAACTGTGCCTACCTCAAGAGAGAAGAAAAAGGCTGGGTTTGGACTTCCTTCCTCCCCACTGGTGAAACCCAGGATGTAGATAGAGGGCTACACCCACTCTGTCCAGAGTAGAGGGCACCTGTCCATGTGGCGGGGCCCATGCTGCCACCCTCAAGGAGATGGAACCCTGTGATGCAAAAGCTTTGCTGGTATGTTTGGGGCATAAGGCACTGCCCCCTCTTCTGTCTCTAGCAGATATCATCTTCTCAGCCAGTTCTGTAGGATACCGAGGTTCTTGTTTGACGCGGTGTGTGGATGGGGACTTGCCCGAGACTGAGCCGGTCTGCCCTTTCATTGGAGTATATACATATCAGGGGACCCTGAGGTGGCACCGTGCTCAGTGCTGTGATGCCCCCGCCTGGGGAGGACTCAATGCTCTTCGTATGCCTTATGCAGCGCTGATCTGTCCCTGGAGTTCCCAGGTTCCCAGCCCCTCCCTGCAAGCCTTGAAGCCTCCAGCAACGTCTGTCTCCAGGAGAGCAGGGCAGCCTATGCAAGTGTTCCGGCAGGACCAGAAATGGCCACTCAACACACGTCCTCACGTCACCCCAAACGGAGACACTCGCAGACCTGCAGTTCTCAGACCGAAGGTGCTGCCTTCATCCTCCCTCCCCACCTAATGCATTTTTGAAACCAAAGGTACCTAGCATCAGAGACAGAGAAGAGGGGGAGATCTTGAGTCTAAGAGGAACCCTTTAGCTGTTTCTGTAGCTCAGGTCAGTTTCAGGAGGGTGAAGCTGATTCCCAGGAACGGATCAGCTGCCACAGGCACAGCCTCCCATTTGAGCCTCCAGCTGCTAGCCAGGGGGCCTGGGCCGGACCAGGGCTCTGTCCTTCAGTGACTTTATTAAAGCATCATTTGCCACATGTTTAAGCCGCAAAGGTATTAGCAATGCTTGCATCATTAATCATCATTCAGCTGAAGGTTGAGCCGGTAGACACATACTCTCTGTCTGCTGGTAAGGAACCGTAGCCCAGAACTGAGCCAATAAGATTGAACCTGAGAGTGTGTGATGGTCATTTGGGCCAAGCCCCAGCCAGGGCTGCTGCCTGGGTGCCTGAGGGGCAGCTTATTACAGTGCAAGGGGACAGGGTAAACAGCAGGGGGTGGGGCGTGAGCTTGGAGGGCCCTCCCCTCGCTTCCCTCCAACACCTGCTTGGATACTAAGCCTAGTGTCCCTGAAGGGAATGCCAGGGAAGTGTGCCTGTGAGCTGAATTAAAGGACTGGGCATTTCCCGAAAACTCTTTGGATCTGAGCAGAGTAGTCAGTTTCTCAGACACTCACTCCATACTGCACCGTACATGCCAGTGAACTCACTGCACCGAAAGCAGGCTCTTAGGGACGGTGAGAAAGTCTGCCACACCACCTGGTGACTGGGAAGGGCTGCTTCCCTCGTCAGGGTCTCGGGGAGAAGCGAACCCACAGCCTTTGCACCTTGTTCCAGCGTCATACTAGGCTCTGTACTGTCCTTTGTATATGAAGAAAATGTTATTGTGGGTGCTGAGGGCTGCCCCCCATCACCACACAGTCCCACCCTTCAGAACAGGAGAAAATTTGAGGTTGAAGAATTAAGTTTTCGCTGAGCAAGGAAGGCAGGTGGTCTGAGAGATCAAATGCTGAGGCGTGGGGATTGCAGGATTCAAGAGGCAGCACCTTTGAGGAAGAGGAGGGTGCATTTTCCATGGAGCCCATGTCAGAGTCCAGCCCAGCTCAGCAGGATAGCAGCACTCCCTGCCAGCTGGGTCTCCCAAGCAACTACCCCAAGACATACCAACAATGAAGGCAGGACAGCACCATGCCATCAGCACTCCGTCCTGTCTGGCTGGGAGGAAAGAGTGCTGGATATCTTGCCATGACTCCAGAAGTTCGGTTGACTGGCCTGCAATCCCATCTGTGTGCTCAGCTCTAAGAGCTGTGGTTTCCTGTGCTTTCATTTGTCCATCCATCCATTCATTCAGCAAATACCCTGAAATCCAGTCTGAACTAAGGCCTGAGACTTGGATACCATGGCACGTGAGTTAGATGTGGTCCCTGCCCTCAGGGGGCTGACAGTCCTGAAATCAAGTGCTGGGACACAGTGGTCATTGGGTTGGGAGCATCCTTCCCTCTATTGCTTAAGCCACTGATGGCTACAAGATTGAAGGGAAGGATTCTGAGGGAGAGCTTGGTCCATCTGGTCACCAAAGCTGGGCAGAACAGGGCAGTCAGGAACCACGTGTGGCTTGAGAAACAGTCCTGCTTCCTGAGCCTCTTGACTCTGCCTCTTGGGGCAAGCTCTTCCACCTGTCTGTATTTTTATGCCTCACTCAGTCCCTCCTTGAATACCTCTTTCCATAGAGAGTCATGGGCTCCCTGAAGGAGTGTCAAGGCCAGGGTTAGGGAGGTACATGGCCATGGGTCGGGGACAGCTGCCTCTCACCTTGCCTGGGTGAGGGTGAATGGGATTCATCTTTCCCTGCCTTGCTTTTGAGGAGACGGCTGAATTTAAGCTAACAGGAAAGCCAAAGCAGCACCCTCCTTTGTGCTCTGAGAGGCTGGAGACATCTGGTCTACCTCCCCACCCCCACCCCTGGCAAGTCATGAAGTCTGGAGAAGTGACCACAGGTCTGGAAGTCAGCCAATGCCAACATTGCTTGCCCTGCAAGGTGCATCTAGGCCCACAGAATGCATTCGTAGTTTCCCTGGCCACAGCCTTGGGAAGAGGGTGGAAACACCAAGGATGTGTGGGTTTCCCAGCTAAGGGACAAGCTCCCCTGCCCCACCCGGCGCCCATGCACGCTCGCACACGTACAGCAGACCGCAGCCCTGTTGTCAGCAGTGCTTCCCAGGGATAGCAATCCAGATTCCGACATTGTCCTGGAGAGGGTTAGTCCACATCCAGGTTGTGTGAGATGAGATGCAAAGGGCTCTGTGTGGGTGTGGAACGCAACTTAGAGGAGCTGGAGAGGCCACCTGGGTTGGGCCCTATTTAGGTCATTGCTGTTGGCGGCACCTAGAGAGAGCATCCAAGCCGAAGGAGTGGGGAACTTTGCCCCAGCAACGGCACAGGCAGCAGGCTCTTTCTGGCACCCTGTGCTGGAGCAGGGCCAAGTCTTAGGGCATCACAAACAACCCGTCTGATGGAAGGAGCAGGGACATAGCACATTTTTGTCTTCGTGAGGCTGCTTTGCTAACTCTCTGAGGAGAGGAAGCCTCTTAGGCTTTCCATCGGCTGGGGCTGATGCCAGAGAATCTCTTTTGTGAGGGGGCAACCGGTTCCCGGGAGGCCGGCACAGGGCACCACTCCCCACTCCTGATGCCTTGGTGCAGAGTGACCTCCCACCCAGTCACCACTCCAGCCAGCCCCAGACAAACACACACAAACCTGTGGTTGTGGTTGGGTCTACCCCGTTAGCTGGCAAAGGGTCCTGCTTGAGCTCTGCGTGGTGGCTGAGGAGTAGCATAGAGGAACGCCCTGATTTTTAAAAAGAATGGGACTCAAACCAATGAAGCAAAGAGCTTGACGTGTCAGGAGGAGACCAGGGCCCTGGGAGGTGTAGACAAGCTGGGGAAAGTCAGACCAGCGCCCTCCCTTCACCTAGAAGGGGCTACCCTATGTGAGTTCAAGCCAGACCATGTGGCTGTCCCCAGCCTGCCCAGCGCAAGCCCAGGGAAGTGTCCTTTCTTTCCTTTCCTTACTAATAATGGGCCTTCCTGAGACACATTCAGAGAAGGATCAGAGGGAAAGGAGAACCATCCAGGAGAGCCACAAGCGCCCACCAAATAGTGTCAAGCCTCACCTGAAACTGATGTTCCTCCTATCAGCATGCTAGTATTAAATGGGTGTTCCATAATGAGAAGAATGGAAATGAAATAGGTACGAAGGCATCTCACTTAGGACAGAATCAGATTTCAGCACGTGAAGGAATCCCAAAGCTGATCTCATTGAAATGATTTATGGTACAGACAAGGATATGCACATCCGCAGAGGTGAAGAGATGTTTGCTCAAGATCACATAGCTGGTGTACTAAGGTAAGGTTAGGGCTTGAGCCTGGGCCTTCTGACTCCTTGTCCAGTGTTCTTTCCTCTCACCACAGCTGCCTCCTTTGAAACAGAGGTATTAAGATCTGTCCTTCCGGCTCACCCTCTCAGACCTCTTTACTGCCTCTCCTGCATCCCCCATATGCCTCCCAAAATGAAAGACAAACAGGATTTTTTCAGGGTCCAAGATCAGTCTGTCTGTGATCAGCCTGTTTCACCCAGCTGTGCAGATAAGGGCAGATCAGGGCCAGTGGAATAGAATAGCTGATTGGTGTTTGTTACTGTGAACATTAGACCATACCCCTAGAACGGTGTCTCTTGCTTTGTAACACATCGGGCCTTCAGCTTGCTGTATTTCTCAGAAGCGAGGGCATCTCTGTCCATTCTGCCCATGGCCACAGGGTGCAGAGAGGCAGCAGGGCCCATGCAAGCCTGCCACCCTGGGATTGCCTGGGCTGGAGTTCAGCAGACATCAAGACTTGTGAAGCAATAAACACAAAACTCTGGGAGAAGATATCCAGAATTTTGTGCACTACTCTGTTTCTTTTTCAAAAAGGAGGCAGATCAGATGGCCCTGAGCTGCCCCTTTTTTCTGATTCCCAATGGCAATGTCCTCAGTCAGTGTTGTCCCTCTGCCCAGCTCCCCAGCTCTTTGCCAACTTCTTCACACTCCTCTTGAGCTGAGCATCAGTCGCCTGGGACATGGCCACCTTCTGTCCTGCTCCCACTCCCGACCCGTGCTGGACCCCGGAGGACCTCCTGCCCTGCCCCCAACACACACCCATATCCCTCACCATTCCAATTTGTTCTTTTCCATGGGGAAGTTTTTTCCCTAGTGTCTCCATCCCTTCCTACGTGTCCACACACACACACAAATTGGTCTGATCTTTTTTCCATTGGTTAAACATTTAACTCCGTGCCAGACCTTGTTTTAACCCCTCTCACATCATGTTCTTTCCTTTTTTGCGAGTTATTTTGCATTAACCAACTTTGTCAGTGACAGATGCGTATCTGAGGGTGTCACGCACAACCTTCAGCAGGGAAGACTTCTGGGCCATGGAGGACCGTCTAATACATGGACTTATAAACTGACTGCATGAGCAATGAAAAGGCCAAATTATTCTGAATTTTTTTTTTTGAATCACTGTAAAAAAACTGATTTCTTTTGTATAGAGAACACTAAAAGTATAATAAAAGTTGTTCAAAATGGACTTTTGCCATGTGACTTGCTCATTTTCCTGATTCGTTCTTATAAATGGATAGGGGAGGGGTGTCAAGGGGCTGATGACACAAGCAGATTGAAGGGTTTTGCATGAGCGCCAGACAGCACACTCTTCCAGAATTCCACCATGCCATCCCCCATCTAGAAGTTGCCCTTATTCTGGAAGACTCATTTGCACAATTTGTGTTTTAAACATAGTGTGACTAGGAATGTGTAACGTGTACACTCATGGAGACACCCTTTGATTCAACGTGATGTGTGTGCTTGTCCACCATTGAAAAAGTGCCATGCTAGGGAAGTTGGGAGAACGAGAGAAATTTGCCATGGTGCCCCATCTCCTAGCCCCTCCTGTTTCTGCACCCCTTGCCCAGCATTGTGCCTGGCACAAAGTAGACACTTCATATTGTTGAAAGAATGGATAAAACTGCTTACTACAAACCCAAAACCCCCCTCAGTAGACTCAAAGGAATCTTGGCCAACAACCAAAAAGAGGCCAGGCACAGTGGCCTGTAATCCCAGCACTTTGAGAGGCCCAGGTGGGTGGATCATCTGAGGTCAGGAGTTCGAGACCGGCCTCACCAACATGGTGAAACCCTGTCTCTACTAAAAATACAAAAAAAAAAAAAAGCTGGGCTATGTGTCGCATGCCTGTAGTCCCAGCTACTCGGGAGGCTGAGGCAGGAGAATCGCTTAAACCCAAGAGGCGGAGGTTGCAGTGAGCCAAGCTCACGGCACTGCACTCCACCCTGAGCAACAGAACAAGACTCTGTCTCAAAAAAAACAACCAAATAGGAAAGGAAAAGAGACAGAGGGGGCTGTGTTGATAAGAAGTGGTGCTCGGCTTTCACCACATCGTCTGGATGCTACCACAGCACGCCTGTAGCTGTGCTGATTCTCCCTAAGGAGTGGCCAAAGAGCCTCACCCAGGCAGGGCAAGACATGAGGGACCCCAGACATTGTTACCTGGGGGCGGTGTGGGGGTTGGCAAGAGCACCAGGAGGTGGTTCTGCTCTTGCAGAAAGTTAGCGGACAATATCTAGGCACAGGCTGTAATGGGAAATGAGGCCAAAGAATACCCCTAAAAATGCAGACCCAAGTCTCCTGGACAGAGAACCACTGGGTAGCTGTCCAACCCAGCTGTGCTTACTCTGCCTTCAGCGTCCTCAGAACAGACAGGGTGGGTGCAAGAAAGAAAACCAGTCCTCAGAACGGATCGTTGACTTGGGGGACTGAGGCTAAAATGAGCCCGATTTCCAGGTCCGGCTCTTCCTGAATTGTTGGACACCTGGGTAGGGAACTCACACACCTTTGAACCTCCCTATTTATTCCTTGGAATATGAGAAAGATTCTTTATCTTTCGCTCTCTCTTTTGTTTTCTGGGGTTTTTTGTTCGTTTTGAGACAAGGTCTTGCTCTGTCACCCAGGCCGGAGAGCAGAGGTGCAATCACGGCTCACTGTGGCCTCCGACCCCCCAGGCTCAAACCATCCTCCCACCTCAGCCTTCTGAGTAGCTGGCATTACAGGTGCCCACGACCGCACCCAGCTAATTTTTTTTTTTTTCTAGAGACAGGGTCTTGCTATGTTGCCTAGGTTGGTCTCAAATTCCTGGACTTATGCAATCTACCCTGCCTCAGCCTGCAAGTGCTAGGATTACAGGCATGAACCACCATGCCTGGCAGGAAGGTTCTTTCTCATCATTCTCAAGTTCACATGCTGCCTTTAAAATTTGCCCCTCACATCCATATGCAGTCTCACCCTTAATCCAAGCCCTCGCGGCCTGAATTGAGTGTTCTTGCCTCCTCTGTGGCCTACTCCCTCAAGAAACTATAGCCAGAGAGAGCTTCTAAAATACAAATCTGATTGTGTCATTCCCTTACGTGAAATCTTCATTCACTACATTAGATAAAATCTAAACTCCATGGTTTGGCATGTTAGACCTTTGGTGATCCAACCCTCAAGTCTCCATCCTCATTTTTCACCACTCCCCGCTAGTACCCCAAATTCTAGCCATTCCAACTATTTCCAGCTTTCCCTGACAACAAAAAGTTCTCACATTTCCCAGTGTTTTCAATTCAATTCAAAAGTATATATTAACAACCTACCCTGTGCCAAATGACAGCTTAAGTAGAAAGCCCAGGCTGTCATGAGAGAAAGTCAAATAAGCAAAAGCGAAATTAGAGTGTCTTGGGCAAAGGGCTCAATAAATATGGGCTCAGTGGATAAATGATGGCCCAAAGGTAGGTCTGCCTGACACACTCTTCTCTGGACCTTCACACCACTCCCCAGTCCTTCTGGCTTCTCTTTCCTCTTCTTGTCCTTCCTCTTTCCCATTCCAAGCCCCTCCAGCCCCCTTTCTCCTTATAGGACATTCCTCCGAGACTCCTTGAAGGCAGCTCAGGGAACACTGTCTGCCCTGACAGCCCTGCAGACACACACACACACACACACACACACACACACACACACACACCCCTATCTCACTGTGCCCCTAAAGCACCTATTTTATGTCTAATGGGGTCTGGCATATGACATTCATTGTCTTTTTTTTTTTTTTTTTGAGATGGAGTTTCACTCTTGTTGCCCAGGCTGGAGTGCAGTGGTGCAATCTTGGCTCACTGCAACCTCCACCTCCCAGGTTCAAGCGATTCTCCTGCCTCAGCCTCCTGAGTAGCCAGGACTACAGGTGCCCACCACCATCCTCCACTAATTTTTGTATTTTCTTTTTTAGTAGAGATGGGGTTTCTCCCTGTTGGCTAGGCTGGTTTCAAACTCCAGACCTCAGATGATCCATCTACCTTGGCTTCCCAAAGTGCTGCGATTACAGGGGCAAGCTACCATGCCTGGCCTTTTTTCTTTCTTTTCTTTTCTTTTTTTTTTTTTTTAAGAGATAAGGTCTCACTCTGTTACCCAGAGCTGGAGTGCAGTGGTGCTGTTACAGCCCTCCACAGCCTCAAACTCCTCAGCTCAAGCAATCCTTCTGTCTCAGCCTCCCATGTGGCTGGAACTACAGGCACTGCCACTATGCCCGGCTAATTTATTTTATTTTCTATAGAGATGGGGTCTCACTATGTTGCCCAGGCTCGTCTTGAATACCTGGCCTCAAGCGATCCTCCCACCTTGGCCTCCCAAAGCACTGAGATTACAGACATGAGCCACTGCACCCGGCCTCATTGCCTGTCTTTCACTAAACTGTGAACATCCTGAGTACAAGACCAGTTTTTCATCTGCATCCACAGTTAAGTGCTTGGCACGTAGCAAATGCCAGCTGAGGGTCAAAATGAATGAATATGAATAAATGAATGAGACAACATTCCTTTGAAAAATAGTGGCCAGGTGAATTTAAGGTTTTCATATCAACCTCTTTGGATATTGGATACTTGGATATGACACTGGGGACAATCCACCGGCTCAGTTTCTAGAACAGGCGCCTCCACTCCATGGAACAGAAGTGAAGAGATGAGGCGAGCATGTTCTTTGAAGAAAACCAACCTCAATGCAACGGAGGCCAGACAAAGCGCTTGCCTCTCTTCAGAGCCCCAGGGACCCAACAGAATGTGAGCCCTCATCCCTGTCTTCTGAAGGCTGCGCCTCCCAGCCCATTAGAAATGCTGATCTCCAGCTTGGAGTGGGATTAAAAGGCCCAGCGGGGAGGGCACAAGCCATCTTCCTGTCTTTATTAAGAGTGAAGGCTGTGCCCCCTCTTGCCCAGCTGCCCACAAAGGGCTGGAATCTGGGAATTCATTACAGCCCTTCTCATCGAGAAGGCCTCTCCTGCCCAGCATTATCTTAGGTGGAGAAAGGCGGGGGAGGGGCCCATTTCAGCATCCCCTCCCCACTTAATGCATCAGAGCCCGTTTGTTTGATGTCAGTTTCTGCTGGAGCGTGGACCGGGCAGTGGGCCTCTGAGCAATTTGGAGCCACAGCTGCGGCCCAACAGCCCAGCCCCCAGTCCCCAGCCCTCACTCCCACTCCCGCCTCAGAATTTGCTGCTGATTAGCCTCAGGCCTCCCCCCATCCCCGACAGAGAAGCATGGCTTTGTGTAGACCTGGGACTCGGCTGAGTCTGATAGGGTCCGCACACAGACCCTCAGCCCTGGCTTGGGTTCACTGGAAACTCATCTCACTTGCACTGAACCCAAACAGGCGTTCTGACCGCTCAGCTTCGCGCATAGACCACTGCAGAGAGCGAGCAGCTAGAGGACAGGGGATCCTTCCACACTGAAGCAAACACACACATCTTCCATGCGTAGCACCCCAAGTGCCCCCTCAAAAGGCTGCATCCTAGTAAACGAAGGATCCAGGCTTGATCCAGTAGAGAGGTTGCAGAGAGCACCTGGGGAGAGCTTTGCATAATGAAGAGGGGGAGATTTTGGACCTCCAGGGCATCCAGGGGGCAGCAAATGAGAAGCAAGAAACAGCAGAAGGGAGATTAGAGGAGTGGTTCTCAAAGTGTAGTCCCTACACTGGCAGTATCTGGACCACCCGGGAGTGTGTAGAAATCCACATTCTTGGCCCAGGACGGTGGCTCACGCCTGTAATCCCAGCACTTTGTGAGGCTGAGGCGGGTGGATCGCAAGATCAGGAGATGGAGACCATCCTGGCCAACAGGGTGAAACTGCGTCTCTACTAAAATACAAAATATTAGCTGGGCGTTGTGGCGTGTGCCTGTAGTCCCAAGTACTTGGGAGGCTGAGGCAGGGAAATCGCTTGAACCCCGGAGGCGGAGGTTGCAGTGAGCCGAGATCATGCCACTGCACTCGAGCCTGGGGACAGATCGAGACTCCTTCTCAAAAAACACAAAACAAACAAAAAAACACACATTCTTGGGCCTCACCCAAGTTCTACTGTATCAGAAACTCTGGGATTTGTGTTTTCACAAACCCTCCAGGTGATGCTGGTGCAGGCTAATGCTTGAGGCCCCCAGGTGAGAGGGATACACCAGAAAGATGTGTATGCCGGGATGTGACCCTTCTTCATGTCCTCTGAATT